AAAGAAATAAGAGATATCAAACCTTTACTTCAAAAAGCTTGAGTTCTTCTTTAACTTCTTTTCTCTACACTCCTTGAACTCCCTTCACCTATAAATGAGAATTCTTATGACTATTCTAAAAATAGCACCAAATGATTCAATCATGAACTTAAAGAAGGTTTACGTACTTGGATAGAAGAAAAGTTGAAGTTAAGACTTAACTACCATTAAAATTGAAAGGAAGGTGGAAGAGATAAAGGAAGAAGATGAAGATAAACATGAAAATGGGAAAGTGAAATGGGTATGCACGGGTAGGCTCTAAAATATCCATGACTTTGTGTGTAAAAGTTCTAAACTTCCTAAATGGTACCTCAATAGTAAACAGCTACAATCTTAATACCCAACTCAATCTTTTAATGCGCAAATCAATCCTCAGTACCCAGATGCTTTGATCTTTTCTCTCACTCAAAGTACTCCACCACCCATATGCTTTGATCTTTTCTCTCACTCAAGTAACTCCACTTATAAACCCATTCTACCCCAACCGGGTTTCGTTCAACTCGACTCAACTCGACTACTCGACTCTATGCTAAGACTCGACTTGGTAGGATGTCACAAAGACTCAAGTAACTAACCCCTCCATAGAAATATGAACCCCAATAATATCAAAAATGTAATTCCTTACCTCCACCCTTGTATTAGGACTAAATAAAATCTTAGACTTACAAAATTAATGGATTGACCTGAGGCTCTCTTATATTCCCCAATATATTTTTAACCCTCTCTGCCTCAAGAGCAGTAGCCTGAAAGAAAAATATGGAGTTGTCTGTAAATAATACATGAGTTATCCTAGGACATCTAGCTCTTGCCATCCCTCCATGAACCCATCCATTTTCCTCTGCTTTCGAAAAAAGAATAGATAGGCCCTGAGCACAAATAAGAAAAAGATATGGCAACAAAGGGTCCCCTCGCCGTTAACCCCTCCCAAAGAATATCGGGCCAACTTCCTTCCTATTGACTAAAATGGAATACTTAACATCTCAAAAGTACATACCCATCCATTTTAGCCATAAAGCTTGAAAACACATCTTAACTAATATCCCCTCCAAAAAATCCCAGCTAACCTTAACACCTGCTTATCTGCCGCACTATCTACCTATTGGCCTGAAAGCTCTAGCAGCTGATATGAAAGATTGCTGTACTCAGCCATAGAAAAAATATTGGAAGCGTCTTTCTTACTTTGACCCGCGAAATATTCTGATTTTTTACGATGCATTGCCGTTCAAAATTAAGATATTGGGCTTTGCCCCTTGCTTTATAGAGATTGTTATGAACTGACTAAATGAATCCCTTCTTAACTCATATGCTTTGTTAATATCTACTTTCAAATCACACTCCAATTTTCCTTTTCAAATTATGCAACATATCAAAAGAAATAAGAATATTATCGGTAATCAATCTGCCCAGAATAAAAGCAGATTGATTTCTAGAAATAGTTTTAGGGAGCACAACTATAAGCTTATTAGCCAAGACTTTCGACACTATTTTATAAAGGAGATTGCACAATGAAATAGGTTTAAAGCCTTTTAAGGATTTAGGCTTATCAACTTTAGGAATTAACACAATAAGTGTATCAGTAATAGAAGAAGGAAAAATAACTTCCCGAAGCCAACCATTGCATCCTCGCACCACATCGCTCCCAATAATCTTCCAAAATTTTTGGAAAAACGCAAGATTGAGCCTATTTGGACATGGACTTTTGTTAGGGTTCATCTAAAAAACTGTCATTTCTTACTTCTTTCACCAAGACAGGTGCGATGAGCATGGTATTGTCCTCTTTGCTAATACTCGACTGAGTGAGTCCTAATAGACAAGAACTATTTGACTCAGACCCTCTAAACACTTCATCAAAATAAGACAACATCGTGTTCTGCAGCTCCACTTCATTTATAACTAAAGTCCCATTAACATTACGCAGACCCTCAATTTTGTTATAGCGATGGCGTGCTTTAATGCTCGCATGAAAAAATTTATTATTTTTGTCACCTTGTCCTGGCCAGAACTGTTTAGCTACCTGTCTGCATCTCAACTCTTCTTCCACCAAAACCCGAATCTATTCCTCCCTAAGGTATTGGTCAGTTCCCGCTAGTTGTACTACTCAGTTAGTTTCCAACATATTCTTGATCAATCTTTTTTTCTTCCAAAAATTAGTGTTCCTCTCCCACCCGCACCTTTTCAAAGCCTGAAACACAATTATGCTTACAATCCATGATGTTACCTGCGGAGATCATCTCCATGTCGATTTTACCATAGTGAACACCCCCTCTTTCGTCAACCATCTATTATCAAAGCGAAATCTCCTCTCATAATCCCTTTATTCCAGCCCATCCAAATTTACAAGAATGGGATCATGATTCAATGTTGGCACTACTAGCATCTTAACAACAGCATCCTGAAAGTGGTTCGACAATTCCACATTCCCCATGGCTCAATCCAATTTTTCACAGGTAACAACCTGCCCATGTCACACCATTCTCTAAGTAAAATGATACCCAACCAAGAGAACTTCTACAAGCCCATAATCCAGAATTGTCTCATGAAAACCATTCAATAAAAAATTAGGATATTCATCCTCTCCCCCCCCCCCCCAATTGTCTCATGAAAAACCATTCAATAAAAAATTAGATATTCATCCTCTTCCCCCTCCCCCCCAATTTTTCACCCGCAAAGTAGCTAGATTCATATTAAAATCACCCATGCACAGCCATGTCTTCCCCCCCCCATTTTTCACCCGCAGTAGCTAGATCATTAAAATCACCCATGCACAGCCATGGTCTTGTATCGTGCAAAGCAAGGGCTCTAAAAAGGTTCCACGACATTCTCCTTCTATTCCTATTTAACTTGCCATAGTACTCTATGAGTCTCCATTAAAAACCCATCGAACCAATTATGCTATCAATACAATAAGATGAAAAACCTGTTTTTGTAAATTGACAACTGTCTCTCCATAGTAATCCTAAACCCACGCTACGCCCTACACAATCCACTACGAAACAATTTTGAAAACTCAATTTACTGCTCACATCTTCTAAATTTGCTTGATGAACCAAGGTTTCCATCAAGAAAATTACTTCTAGCCTATAGCTCGAGACTAAATCCTTGAGTGCTTGAACTGTCTGAGGTTGCCAAATCCTCGACAGTTCCAACTGAGGAGAATCATTGCTTCCAACCAACCCCCTTTACGGGATCGGCTGATATCTTCTTTTGTGACTTTGGGCTATCCATTGTCTTACTTAATGGCAAATCCTTTGTCAAAGAAACTCCATTAGTCGAGTTTAAACCACCATTCCCACTTCTTGGCCTTTTCTTAAGTTCATTAGGCCTCACACACCTTCCTCCTCACCCAAACTTACATAAAAAACCTTGTCCATCGAAAGAGGGTCCACCTCCATTGACAAATTCTAATGCTTAGAATTATTCTTCATAAAATTTTGTTGATGGAATGATTGTCTAACATTAAAAGTTTTGGTGTGAAAAGAGAATTGTCCAGCATTATCCATCTGTTGCATCCTTGCATCGGGAAAAGGACTATGACCTGGTTCCCGAAGCCACACACTCTGTGCTTGAGCTTTCCTCCTTACCAGAACACGAATACGATCATCCCATGCAAAAACCAACTCTTCCTTTTTATGATGGAGGTGGAGATTAAAGAAATATTCAATATGACCCAACTTCCCGCATAGAAAACAAAAAGCGGGAAGTTTTTCATACCAGAATTACACATAAAAAACCATACCATTCACACCTAAAACTCTCTTCCTCCTCTTCAATGGTTTCCTTATATCAAGCTTCACCCTAATCCTCATGAAGCTACTTGGTTTAAAGGAGATTATCCTCGAATCGTACTCCAAAAACTCACCCAAAAAATTTTCCAAAAGTTTTGCCATGTTCTTTGACATATATCCCGGTTGTAGGTCATGGACTTGGAATCAAAACACTGTATATAGCAAAGGAATCTAAATAGGGTCCTTTCCCTCCACTATTTTACTCCCCATAAGGAGATGCATGTTGAACAGCCAGGGTGCCCTCTCTAAAACCCTCTCTAAATTGACATTTGTGTAGAATCAAAACAAGAATCACTTAGCTCTTAGGTCGGATATAGTCAGACCTCCTAACGGATGCCGCAGGTTGGCAAAGGTATTACACATTGCTTAGAAATTCACTACTGCATACGTCAAGAACATTTCGACCATGCAGTATGTATAACTCTCCTCTTGACCTATCTCTAGTGCCACATCCTGAACAACATCATCCTCCTCTTCATTAATGGCTAGGTGATCAAAGTCGGTTCCATGATTATCCAAAAATTAACAAACATGTAGAAACAACTCAAAGACAAGCCTAGAGATGACGTGCCACAAAGAGCATAGAAAACCAACCGTAGCAGCACTATAATTCTATCTTTGAATGTTAGTTCAAACTTTAATGGTCTCTGTATTTTCTAATCATCTAATTATATAGTCTTTAGATTAAAATCTGTGTGCTTTTAAAAATTACCTTTTCTTAGTTCCTCTTCACATCCGTTTACATTTTTTCAATTTTATAGTTCAAAAATTTGCAAATTAATAGAAAGATTATATAATTGGAAGATCATAAATGTAAGAATTTCATTAAAATAAAATTTTCAAAATAGAGACAACTACTAATGTAATATGTTATAATAAAAAATTTAATCCTATCAACAACGTGTTAATTTAGACGGTAAGCGACTTTATCCAAATAAGGATTCGAATACTTACACATTTTACTGAAAGGATAAAAAATTTTTACAATTTAACTTTTCACATCTACTACGACAGCAACAACATATAAACAGAGTAAAAAATATTAGGGGTAATTGCGGTAAAATAAAACTTTCTTTTATCAGTAATAGAAAGAGATTGTTTACGACTGTACGGAGAGAACTTTCTCGGTGACTTTGTCCTTTGCGTTCCGGTAATCTCCTTGTTTGCACTTATCCTATTTTTCTATTTCCCTTTTCCTTTCTTCCCTTTATAGTTTTTTGCCGTCCATGTTTGAATGTAGGGTTTATTTTTGTCTGATGGTTAATTGGGTATCCTATTGATTGATTGATTGCTTGCTTTACATTCGAATTTGAGTTGCAGAATCACTGATATTAGTGTGTGAAAGTTTGAAAATGGAGAAGGGGGGGAAAGGGTTTTCACTGCCCACTAAAGGTCTCAAGTCTTCTCTCAAGTCTACTGCTAAGGGTGGGTTAGAACTCTCTCTCAATTTTCCCCTTTTCTTCTTATAAATTTGCTAGAGGAATTTTCTACTGGGTATAAGAAATAAAATCATAAACCCTATTATTCAATTCAAAGCTACAATCTTTGGTAGGATTTAGGATTTATTGTCATTATTTTTGTTGTTAGGCCTAATGTCATTGTAATTTTATGAAATTTAGTGTTCTTTATTATCCTATTCACTTCTTTAGTTTTATTAATTTGTATTATAAACTTTACCGTTGCATTCACCATTACCTGTTTTTATTCAAAAGTTGTTATTAATTTGTTAGTCCAGATTCCAAGTAGTATGTAAGACCTCAACATGGTGAGTAGATCAACTAGGAACGAACTCCACCTTCCGCAGCAACAATGGAAATTTTACCTTCCAAAGCAACAACGGAAAATTAATGTCATGATGGTCTATAAGATTTCTAACTCTATATGCTTTATGGCTGGAGTTCATGTTATATAAACTTCCTTACGTATAATTTGTATCTAAATATGTAGGGTAGTGACCTAGGACCTTATTATTTATTTTGCGGGTTCAGAAAGTTGAATTGAAAGACATGTGAGTGAAAATTCATTGAAAACTGTAGCTCTAACTAAAATATAATAAAATTTGGGGAGGCAATTGTTAATTTCTTTGGATATCATCATCAGAAAATATAAATTGAAATGTCGAGTTTGAATTAAAAGAGTCAAGATCTTTTTTTTTTTTTTTTTTTTTTTTTAAATCTAAAATATAAAAAATTTGGGATGGCCCAATTGTTAATTTTCTTTGATATCATCATCAGAAAATATAAATTAAATGTCGAGTTTGAATTAAAAGATTCAAGAGCTTTTTTTTTTTTTTTTTTTTTTTTTGGGGGGGGATTGTTTGGGGTCTTGGCACGAGGTCTCATGTAGGTGTCTGTGTCTTGGATATGCTCTAAAAAGGGGGGGGGGGGGGGGGATTGTTTGGGGTCTTTTGGCACGAGGTCTCTGTAGAGTGTCTTGTGTCTTGGATATGCTCTAAAAAGGTGAAGTTTAGGCCATACTTGCTCATTAAGCACAATGTTAGCCAAAAGATCTCATTGTCCATGGTATACTTTCCAACTGAAGTGTAACTCAAAATATGATTGTGCAAACTATTAAAGTTTGTTATCTGAGTTGATAAAATGAGAATAATCGATGTAACTGGGAACTGTGCCAATGTTCCTTTTCTCATCATCAAGTCATTGTTGTTGATGTACGACCACGTAAGATTTTCATTAGTTACCAACCGGAATTCTCTTTGGTTCTGATGCCAACAATAATTTCTTGGCTACTTTACTGTCCCATGCAACTTTTGGGTTAGCTAAAATTTCATTAGAATCTTGGAGCTCGATGTTGATTCTAGTTGCCAGTTGTCTTTCCCTCTAATTTCTGTTTAATGTCCTAATGACCATTGATTTTCACTATCTTTGCTGCTTCTAATCTATAGCTTATCAATGAGGAGCTAAACTTTTACTAATTTATAATAGCTGGAATCTTGTCCAATCTTCCATTCTATATCAAAATTCCTATATACATGCTTCATTCTCCTCTATCCCCTGAATTGAATTGAAGTAAGTTTTTGATTTTTGAGCAAGCCTTTCTTTTTTATTTCCTCTGTTAGGCACATTGAAAGGGAAGGATGACAATCCTGCAAAGCTTGGAAGGAAAGTTCAGTTCAATTCTGAAGGTTAATGTATTTCCTCACTTTTTCTCATATCTGTATTCTTCTGTGATTTGTTTGTGGTAACTGCCTTATAATATGCAATTCTTATTTATCATACTATCCCTTGTCCTGTGGTGCTTTTTTCTTAGATATAAGAAAATAACTATTCAGAAAAAATAATGAAAATGACACTATGCATTATAAGGGATCCTGCTACATATGATGCAAAAAACAATTAACAGCAAGATGTTAGGAGCTATAGTTGGGCTATATAAATTATATTTCTGTAGCTTTGTTAAGAGGGCTTTGGCTGTAATTGTGAATGCAAACCCATTAGTATAAATGATGCGTTTCTCTAATTGCTTTCAGATAAAGAATACAAATCAGATACTTCTCTTTTTCCTCTCTGCCTTTACATCTTTCTCTTCCCTTCTCTTCCTTTCTCCTTGTCAGCCTTTCTATCTGTTTCTCACCTTCCAAACACCCTTGTTAGTGATTGCAATTCTGCAAGCCCTAACTACTTGGTATTAAACACAAGTTATAAAATTAATGCCCTCCAATAGAGCTGGATAACATTCAAAAGAGACCCCTGTAAAAGCTCTAGAAGCATAGGCCCATATTGAAACCAAAAGCACCACCTTTGTACCGGAATAAACTAAAGGACATGCTCTGAGTTTTTGCCTCTCCATCGAAAGATTCCATGTAACTCCAAAAAAACCTCTGGTCCAAATAAATACGATGTCTTTTCTACTGCCAAAACTGCTCCATTTTAAATTAACAAACACCTCTAAAGGTTCTAGATGCAAGGACTGCCTTTCTTTTAGCGCCAAAATGGTGATTCTAGATTTCCCAAGCCACCTCACAATGTAGAAAATATGTGAGTCTTACCCTGCTTATAACATATAACATCTCCATCCTTGTTAGGCCATCTTTTGTTCGGGAGCTATCTGTAGGTTTATAAATATAATGGCATATCAGTTTTTTATCAAAATTTGTCGGGAAGTTTGATTCAACAGCTGCTAAAGGTCTAACTTCCTCTAAACCATCTATATTGTTACCTACTTTTTTTATTTTCCTTTTGCTCATTATTTTTCATTACCAATCTTATTTTGCACTACTCTATTTTATGCTTTTATATCACTATTGTTGATTTGTGCAAATTTTACATTCTAGGTAAGCGGGATAAAGGAGACAAGGTTTCAAACGATGGGAAGGCAAAAGAATCACCACTTGAACTGAAAATTGAGCAGGGTACGTAGTAGTCCAGGCTATACGAGTACCTTTGGTCCAACAATTTACTTGCCAATATTATTGCACTGTCAATTTTTTAAGTATTATCAATCTTGTGATGTTTCATGTTGTTTATTGTGTCTTAGTTATAGTTTTTTGGTCTAATAAAAGGGGGAAAATACAAATGTTAAACTAGCAATAACTATTTTTTATACTTATTGCTCTATTGGTTTCTTAATTGTTATCAATCTTGAGATGTTTGATGTTGTGTATCATTTCTTAGTTTTGGGTTTTGAACCTAAAAAAAGGGAGAAAATAAAAATGATATTTAAAGGCCTGCTTGGTTGTCTGTACTGTTTTGGTTTCTGTTGTCCAATTTGTTAAATAAAATTATTTTATTACATATATTTATTTTTATTACTAAAATAAATGCCACAAATGAAAAACAAAAAGATTGATTTTTTTATTTTTTTAAATTTTCATGAACCTGTTTTCCAAGATACAACTTCTTAGAGTTGGACAATGATTACCAGAAACAAGATACAGAATTAATCCAAACTGGCCCTAGGTTTGCCAGTGTTTTTTATCTACTGCAGCGGCATTCCATGTAGACATTATGAACTCAAAGAGGTGTACATTGTGGGTGCACGTGAAAACATGTGGATGAGTGCCTAATTAATAAATTGCATGCGTCACTTTTTCAATTTTTTGTTAATGATGCATGCTGATCCTGCTTATACTTTTTCTTTCAATTAAATCTCCCCTTTTTGCAATGGAAGCAGAGGATGTCAGAACTCACACTCCAATTAGCAAGAAAAACATAGTTTCTGTCTTGAGCTTCTCACCTGTGTTTGTATACTGCTACTTTTATGTTCGTCATCTTGCTTTTTGTGTCACTTTGCTTCGTCATCCTCGGGCAAGTTTCTTCATATTGGTATATCCCCTTTTTCATTCTTTCCGGTTTTAAAATATTGGAAATTTCGTGCATTGAAATGGTATAATTTCCATATAGGAGTACTATGGAGGAGACAACTGACTAGTTAAACACTATGAATATATGTAAAAGTCTAGCTGTCATAACACTGTAGCATTTGTAGTGCTCTTTTGCTTGAGGTTAGGCACGAGTAGGCAACTTTTTTTTTTTTGTTTAACTTGATCATTTATTTGTTTACATTATCATGAGTGATTAATTATTACAGAGCTATTCACTGATGTTTTGATGTCTTCTGCTGGTGATTTTTATACTATTATAATATTTGCTTATTTGCAGAACTTCCAAAAAATGCCAAATGCATGATGGATTGTGAGGCTGCACAAATTTTACAAGGAATCCAGGAACAGATGGTTCTACTGTCCCGAGATCCCACAATCAAACTTCCTGTGTGAGTAAAAATATTTGAAGGTACTGATGTACTGTCCTCATGTAGAAGTATACTGAATAGTATTACTTTTTCATTTATTTTCAGGTCATTTGACAGGGGCCTGCAATATGCGAAAACTGGTGCTCGTTATACAAGTCCTCAATCTGTTAGGCGTGTTCTTGAGTATCCTTATTTTCTTATTTCCTGAAGCAATTTTGTATACCCGTATGATACTCTTTATATATTATGTTGAATTTGTTTCAAGTGATCCATCTGTTGTTTATTAACTCTAATATCAGGAGCCTCAAAGACCACTGTGTCTCTGATGGGGAGGTATAATTCTTATCCTGGTTTGGTTTTTTCTAAAAATAAAAGAAAAGGAAAAGCAGTTCTTTGATTTCAAATTCATGCCTGCAGATATGTTTGATTGCTAATGTGTGTCCTGAAAATGTTGATGAAGTTTTTGCACTTGTCCGATCCTTGAAGGTATTTTTCAACTAACTTAGTAATTCAGGACACAAGCATATTGCACTAGAAATTCTGGTTTTGTTTTCGTAAGATAGTTCCAAGGAAAACTGAATTATTTTTTTCATAGAGGTAATGGAGGAGGTGAGTAATGAAGCTAGTAATTCCTTCTTGTCATTTATGTTATTTACCGTTAGATGGGATGATGACATTTCTGGTGCCTAAACATTTTGATTTTTTTATTTGAATAATTTTTTTTTCTAACTTTTTTTTTTTGTTTTGTACATGAATAAATAATGGTAAAATAATAATAATAATAATAATAATAATAATTAGTAATATCGATAAACCTAAATAAGTTTAATAAAAATAATAAAATTTGTTAAAAATATTGTAACTAAACAAAAAACCGAGAACCATTTGCCATGTTTGGTTTTCAGTTTTGACTGGCTTAGTTTGGGTTCATTCCAGTTTAGAACTGAATTATGGTCATGCCTACCTGGATAGTTTGTAGCTACTAATATTTCTAGAAAACTCACTTTTTTTTTTTTTTTTCAAAAACTATTTGGAATGTGTCACAATAGACAGTAATTTTTTTTCCCATTTGCGCACTTAATTACATAAAAACAATGTCCAGTCACTCATAGAAGATATCAGGATTTTAGGTGATCAAAATGTCATTGTTCCTTTAGTTGCCATTATTTTGTGATTGTCTTTTGCTTTGCTTTCTTTAAGCTGCTATCTGAGGTTGCAAGGCTCCCTCAGATATTGAAATGTTGTCTTGATTCTGCTTTTTTTAATATATTTAATTTCTCCATTTCCCGACCTTTCATCCAGTCGAAGAAAAACATGCTTAAAGAACCCCTAGAAGATGTTTTAAGTGAGCTAGTTAAGTTGAAACAGCAGGCATGAGTCCCATCTATGACACATACTTGGTAAGTTATTTCATTTTGCTGCTCAAGCTGGGATAGGATGGAGTTACTGCCTTCAGACTTTCATTATAGCAGTACATATTTCTTTGGTGCCATTGAATGAACCTTGGATTCCTTTGTTGGTGGGGAGATGCATATCGGTGCTTTGTGCATGGATGGAGCTTGAGCCAATCATTTGTTCACTGTTTTAAAGGTGGCTGGCATTTTGTATAATCCCTGGACCTTCAAACCTTATGTTCAATAGTTATAATATTGTACTCGCTTAGCTATTGAATGGAAAGAAAGCCTTTCTCTATTTACTCAAGTATTTAAAATGGTAGTAATCATTGATAACTCGTATATGTTCTAGACAGTTAATTACTTCGTATTATAGAATTCAAGCCTTGCAGAATAATTGTACGCCCGAAGGTAGTTGCTTTTACAGGCATTTGCTTTTATTCAAGCCTTGCAGAGTGCAGAGCAATCCTTTTGGCTTGTCAATAGGTGGAAGTTGACCATTTTATAGCCATTTGCTTTTATCACCAAGCCAATAGCTCCATTGTTGTTGGTTTACAAGTGCAGATAGTTTTTCTATTGTCTAGTTAGAAGAAAATATAAGCTTATCTATTTATTGAAGTTGAAATCATTTTTCACTTTTCTTAAATGCTATTGAATTTGCGAGTACTTTTTAATTGTTTTTAAAGTTGTATGATTAGAAATTATGAAATTCACGCTAAAAATAATAATAAATTTGATATTAGTAACATTTCCATCATGATTCTGTGCTCAACAGTATCTCAATCAGCATGCCAAGCAAATACTTAAATAATCCTTTTGCAAACAATTTAATGATCACATATATAACTAAATGAAGACAAAGCCAATCGACCAATGAATATGCTCTTCCTCATAAAGCATGGAAACGAGAAGCAGATTGTTCCCACAATGGCAGTTCAAACCAAAATACCTCATCTCATCTATGCAAAAAAGAGAGGATGTGCAAGTCATTGGAAATCCAATCAGAAGTTAAAATTCTCATCAACTATGGACTTCTGCACAAAAAATTCCATGTTCATCTTTTTTTCCTTTACAGAAGAAAATGAATGAAAAAACTCCATTTCTAATAAAGATTCTTCAACTGGATGTACATATTGTACCTTAGGTGTCATCAACTTGTGAATGAAAGACAAAGCTGGGGAATGTGGTGGTGATGTCTCTGTTCAAAAAACAAGGAATGCATGTCAGCTTTGGACACAGAATACTAAATGAATTGTTGAATCAGTAATGGCTCACTTTAGATATTGAAGAGTCATATTCTTCAAAAGAGAAGGGTGCCGCAAAACAAGGTTTCGCCATTCTTCCTTGTCAATCTTCCCGTCATGCTTAGTATCAGCTTCCTCAAACGTCTAAAATAAACAGTGAAGATTCACAGAGTAAACGCTCAATGTCATCAAAAAGTTTTGACTTCGCATTTGCTATGCTACTAACAGTGAATCGATTCATACAATTAAGAAACATTTTGTAAAGCATAATATGATCAAATGCATTAAGGGTGGAATATTAGAAAAGATTTATGCCCACACAAATAAAAACACTCAAATCAAATAGAATAAGGAAGCACCTTGTCAATGATGCTCTCAATTACATCATCCGTTAGATTCATACCAGATTCAGCAAGTGTAGCCACCACCATTTGCTTCACCTGTGTATCAAAGTTTTAACACATAAAACATAGGAAAGCTAAATTTTACAGAAATTTATGGTGTGGCAATATAGGACATACAAAACAACAGGAGTTCTAATGTAAACTATTGGCCAAATAACTCCTGGTGACCATATCATAACAGAGGAAGAAGTAAATTATTCCATCAAGTTTCTTTTTTGTAGATCTTCCAGCAGAATTAATATAAACATTGCTTTTTGATGCTTCAGAGGCGCAAGAATTTCAGTTGTTCTGCATATACCTTGATCTTATGAGTAATTTTATTGCGGATGGTCAATATATGTCGGGAAAATATAGTCATTGAAGAAAATTCAGAATTATTTATTTGTAAGGCGTAAAAATAAAATGTCAAACATTTTGACCTATCGTTAAAAACGGAGAATGGAGTTTTCATAATATTACTCATCCTCATTTCGAGGTTCTCTGACAAGTATAATAATCTCCTCTCTCCTGGTAAAGTGCCAAGTCCCATGCTATACTTGTTTTACTAGCACATGTAAAAAGGCAGAGAAACTTTAATCCACCAGATATTCATTCCCTAAACTTGAAAATGTAAGTTAACAACATGTTGCATTACTATTAAAATGTGCTATATCTATTACTAGTAACAATCAATTACTTATCAAAATCCATTTATTAAGTTAATGGATTATTGGTGTACTTTTTCTCTCGACAATTTCTTTTTCCTACATTCCCCACATAAACTATGTTACTTCCAAATAACTGCCCAAAAAATGCTTTCTTTTCATATTGATTTATCGAATAGGCATCTTATGAAAGCTGCTCGCTTTCCAGTCAAACTAGTCTCTCTTTTTTTTTTCCCTCTTGGAGTGTCATTTCTATGCATCTAAAAAAGATTTTCCTGCACTTGTTCAGGGGCCAATGAGTAGATCCATAAAACAAAGCAAAGTCTTCTATATTTTTTTAATGTACCATTATCTTTTTCATGATGTTCTGTTGTATGTATTGTCCCCATCATCCTACACATGAAATCATGAAGAATCCTGTACTAGTCTCATTAGAACAGTAAACAGAGATGCATACAAAAGAAATCAAACTGATCTCTGTGACTATGATTACCAATGTACATTGGTGAATTTCTATGAAGTTATTAAACAAATTTCAGTTTTGTTCACTCGGAGAAAACATTACCTCCTGTCTCTCAATGAACCCCTGCTGTTTAAGATCGTACAACTGGAATGAAACTACAAAAAGGGAAAAGTGGAGCATACAAGAAGCATCATTAAGGGCCCTATGAAATCACAACAAAAATAGTAAAATTGTATTATTGTACCACCAGACAATAGTAAAAAATCAAATAAAACTCTCCGTCTGTTGCATTATTAGTCCCACCTCCTCAACAGAAGAGAGACATGGAAGAGGGAAATGGGGAAAGGAAAGAAGAGGAAAGAGATGAGGTGTCTAGGTGATGTGCTGACTTAAGACTATGCTACAAGTCGTATCACCCCGGAGCATTGGGAGAGTGAAGGGAAGTGAGGTGAGTTTGGACACATTATTGATCAATAGAAGTTATAGTTCCTTTTCACTCTACTTAATCCATTTCACAATTAGCAGGCACACTTACATTCAATCTTATCATCAATAGGTGCATTGGGGTGAAAGACAGAGAGAGCACGAGCAAACTCTTCAAAATCTAGGATCCCATTGTGCTTGATATCAAACAAGTCAAAAACCTGTAAAATTGGGTCAATCAGACATAATAGGAAGCTTCTGCCAAGGGATTTTGATAACAAATATTCAGGTCAGAAAAACGTAAGACAGTCAAAGAAGAAAAGGGCATCAAAGGCAGACCAAAAATAAAACAAGCATACTCCAAGGTTTATTATGAAATATACCCTGTCTGCAAATAAACTCTCTTTTTTATTGGTCTTGAATAATGCCAGTTGAAATTCTTCCTGCAACCCATTAGGGAAAGCTTCAATGCAATACCCACAGCTAAAAACTAAAAGTAGCATATTTAGACATTAAGAAAGAGATTTCTGTATTAATCTATTCAATGGTAGAGCTTTGAACTAACCAAGCCATCTCCACCTTCAATATAAAGTTTGAATATACCTCATACTACCAGGACAATGGTCTAAACCATGACTTCTATTACCTTGTTAATCAGCCCGTCATCAATCACTGCACTGCTGATCTTCTTAAACAGCTCATACAATGCTTCTATTTCACTCACACTAACTGCATTTGAAGAAAACAAGCATCTTATCATAAGGCTGGCTTTCAGTTTTAATAAAGACTTTCTGTTCAGCGTTGTAAACAGAGACAAAGAGAATATAGCAATAATTTTTAGGATTGTTGGTCAAATGTATTAAGTTAATTCTTATATAAAAATGGAAATAATAAATCCATGTCATGTTAGACAAATAAGAACATGCAAATTAAGTAATTCTACGATTAAAATCCATAAGGGTCAATAAAGGGAAGTTGGGTTATAATACAAGCCATACAACAACTAAGTCTTGGTCTCAAACTAGTTGAGGTCAACTATATGAATTCTTTGTTCTCATTATCTCTTATGTTAAAAATAATAGCAACTAAAAGCAAAGTATAAAATTGTGAAAGGTTTTGAAATACATTGTGGCAAAATTTTGAAAGAGAAATTTTAAAATCATTTACTATATTAATCAATAAAACAAACCATAAGGTAGACAACAAAAACTAAATAGGATTTGCCATATGAATCTTTGGTCTCCATTCGGCATTGTTCTTAGCTAGATTTAACTGATATCCAAAGACCATAGTCCTTCACTGAAATCCCTCAACATGATTTTAAGTCTATATCTCCTTTTAGCATCCTCCACAACCAAAGTGTCACATTTACAAACTGGGGCATGCGTGGGTCTGCGTAACACATGACCGTACCATTTCAGACGTCCTCTCATTTTATCTCCAACTTTTGCTGCTTGCACCTTTTAGCTAATGTGGTCATTCCTAATCTTGTCCAACCTTGAGTAACCACCCATCCATCTCAGCATTCACATCTCCATAATATTCATCTTATGAACACGATGAAGATTCGGTGCCCAACATTCATGCCCATATAGTATTCTCGGTCTCACCATCGTCCTATAGAACTTATCTTTCACTTTGTTAAATATCTTCCTATCACATAGTAAAAGTCTATAGAGTGATTTCATCCATCCTACTTGAATTCTATGAGTAACATCTTAAATAAAGCAATCAACTTAATGAATTTGACTAACAATCCCAAAATTGTTGCAATAGTTTTAAAAATAATTCCTAGTATGCAGAACTAGAAATTTAAAAAGAGGTCACATACATACTGTTTCCCTTGCAAGAGCTTCAGGATCTTCCAGGCCCCTGGGTGGCTTATACAAATCAGCATCGCAACAATTCACCAGAATAGCACAGAACTGCTTTAATCCGTCTAGGAACTGAACCATGATCTTTTCCAGACGTCAAAACACTCCATACCTAATACAAAGAGAAAGATAATTCCTACGTAGAACATTCCTAAACATTCTTGAATGTGAAAAAGCAATTGGTCATGAAAGAGAAGACTTGAAAGTACACAGTATTTTATACATTTTATATTTCTCTTAATTTTAATTCCAGAATTTCTGAAAATAATGTGCAAGAATTCACACAAGCTAATAAAAGAGAGAGATAGAACGTCGCTTTGACATAGTTGTGAACCAGTATTTACACTTAGCAAAACTCAACAGAATTTTGAGGGAACTACATCTTGATATAACAAAATCAAGTTAGATTTATACCTAAATTAAAAGTTAATTCAGATGTATTTCAAATAATGAACAAATAAATATTGGAAACAAAATGCGTCCAAGATCTCAAATTTTTTATTAATAGGTTTCGGAAAAGTCACTATTTAACTTGAAAGGAAATTAGGAATTAATAATCCCAAAATTTGAATATGCTTCATGTGATTTCTGGAAGTGGACTAACTTAAAAGGCAAGGAAGTATAGGTACTACTATGTAAAAGTTTTCACAAAAATATTGCATTCATTTTTAGAACCAAATAGGAAACTGATGAGAGATAATGTATTAAAAAATTTTTCCATTTTGGCATAAATCTACCTAAAGTTTTCAGCTGCTGTCATAAATTCAACCAGTCAATACAAATTGGCATATCTTCAGATGTAAAAGTTACAAACATTTTTCCATTTCATGCAGGGCAAAATAATAGAATAAAATTTATCTCCAGAATTTAGTTGTACCATGAACACAACGCGTGCAAATATATCACAATGCATGCCAATATAACAGCCTAAGTTACAAACATTTTCTTACATAATACAAGAACTCCTCTAAGGTTAAGGGTGGTTATGGTCTGCCAAGAAGGCTCAAGATTCAGTTTTGAACTTCCATGGGGAGTTTTTAAGGAAATTAAAGACATCTAAAAACCTTGGCACACAAAAACCAATAGAGAGGATAACATGGCACAAAGAACTTTCCAGTGGAGCAGATGATTTGTCTAAATAAACATTGCAGACAAGTTGAGGCCCACATCCCTCTTTTGCATAATAGTTTGACATCCCTTTCTAACATATGACCATTTCAGTCTGCTCGTCGTCCTACCGGGTAGTCAGAAAAATAGAAGGAAAACATATTATGAGAATCTCATAACATAATTCAATACCACTCAAAATCTCATGTTTATTTATTTTCGTTTCTTCTTACCTTTTTGAAACAAACAAGTAAAAATATGCAAATATGAGAATACAGTTCATCATGGCACTGCAATCGACAATTAAGGATATGCCATCCTCCCACCAAATAAATTAAAAGAAAAATTAAATTTGAAACCATAGAAACCAAAATAAAGCACGAATTCAACATTTGCTCTCTAATAGCTCCATTCTTCTCATCTGAAAACAAAGAATAGATGCGATATGGCTCAAGGTCAATCTGCTCATTTCTTGCGTTGTGAATTAAAAGGTAAAGAAACAAAAAAGGCGCTGCTACTTTAACATATAAGACAGTGACACTTTCTTATGTTATTGCCTCTTTTCTCAGCAATAAAACAAGCATATAATCTATAGAAGCAACACATTGTATCAGTTCAATATGTGACAAATGAAATCAATTTGGTGCTTTCTGTTGCAAAGTAAATTTAAAAATAATAAGAAAATGAGAATTATTGGAATCTTAAATTCCATTTAGACACCCATAGTCTGAAGATACACTTATGCACTCTGTATACTGGGCAACCAATAAAGAAAAAGAATATATATAACATGATACACTCTAGTGCTGTTTGTGTACCTGAATACTAGAAAGAGTGTATACCCAAAACTCATAATAGTATTTAAATGGTACTTGCACAATATATTTGGTAACCACTTGTCCAAAAGGAAATTCCTCACAATGTAGGGACAATGGCCCATTGTATGGAAAAAAGAGAAACCATATGCTTATGTTCAATTTATAATACTGAGAAAAATTAGAGCAAAAGTTAACTCACAAATCTTTGAAATCCAATTTTTACATTTATTTATGGAACGAGATAGTAACACCATATATGGATATATTATAATGTTTAATTGGGCCTATATTGCAAACCACAGTATTCTACGTTTACTACCATGTTGAAGAGCTCCAGCTTAAAAAGTTAATATAAAAAATTCATCCTTGATGTAATTCACAAACAAACTTCTGTTTTTTTTCCAAAAGATCTCTACTTAGGGACTTGGTAAAGAATTGGACTTAATTTTATTTAGCAAGACATCAAATTCCAAGAGTACCCTAATTTGATATTAAATTTGCAATTCAATGAGCCATTCCACTAGCACATTGAATTCTTTTGTATGAGCACAGCAACACATAATCAAACTGCAAAAAACACAAACAACCATTGCCATAGTTGTTTTTTTATTTTCTCAATTGTAAAAGAAAATTCTATTATTAAAATATATTTGTTTCTTTCATTGGTGTTTTAGAAGAGACAAACAGGAATGTTTAACCAACCCATTTTCCAATGTACGAACTTTTAGTATAAGATATCAAAAACCAAAGGCCAAGATGATACCAAACTAAGAAACAAGTAATTCTAAGTAACCAAAAACTAATTCATGCATAATCAGAAATCACATGGAAACATACAACCAGGTCCAGAATTTAACTCAAATATCAATTGCAGGCATGAATATATACAAAAACGTCATGAATCTCAACCAGCAATGAAAGGGGAGAATTAAGAACCTACATTGCAGCTAGAAAGTACAGATTGAAGCATTAGAATCGTCAATCCAAAATCTATATCTTTCAGTCTAACATCTCCAATGCCACCATTAAAGCCGATAATTAAGGCACAAACCACTCAGAAGAGCAAATATATTCATAGCCAACAACAGATCAAGTAAAACCCAGAAAAAATATTACATCTTTTTGCACAAAAATAAAACGACTTAAATTCTTCCCATTAAAATTCCAAAGATCATGAATTGTACATGAATTCGAGAAAAAAAAAGAAAAGAAAAGAACTGTAGACATGGATAAAAAGACAGAAAAGAAAAAGGCTTTACCTTTTAGAATACCCTGAGAAGGGAAAAGAGGAATGGGAGGGATGGTGAGGAGACGTGAGGATTGTTGGACATGTCTCACTGTTTCTTTTCTCTGTCTTTTTCGTTTTTTGTTTTTCTCAATCTAATTTGTGGGATTATATAGAAAGAGACAAGGATTGGTATGAATCAAGGGAACGATTTTGATTGATCATGGAAGATCAAATTTGAAATGGCTTCTTTGGAATCAATATCAAGCTTTTTTATCGATATGAACTTTGTTTTGGTTCAGAGTTCTATATAGGTATCCAAAAATGGAAGGTCGTGGCAGACAGAAGTGGTTGAACACGTGGCTATTTGTTAAGTGTAGCTAGACCACAAGGAGCTCAATAGTCTAGCCACTGCCATTGTAGTGATTTGGAGAAAATTCTCTTATGACACAACCCCCCCCCCCCCCCAATGGGCTTTTCTTTGGAATCAATATCAAGCGTTTTGTTATGGCGATTATGAACTTTGTTTTGGTTCAGAGTTTCTTATAAGTAGGTATCCCAAAAATGGGAAGGTCGTGGGCAGGAAGAAGTGGTTGAACACGTGGCTATTTTGTTAAGTGTAGGCTAGACCACAAGGGGAGCTCAATAGTCTTAGCCAGCTGCCATTGTAGTGATTTGGAGAAAATTCTCTTATGGACACAACCCCCCCCCCAAAACCAAAAAAATAAAAAAAACCCCCCCCAAAACCCAAAAATAAAAAAAAAAATTACTGGAGTCCTCCTTTAAGAATCACTTGTTTTGAGGTGGGATGGCCAGACGTTCGAATCAAATCAGAATCAAATCATATTGTAAATGAATCAAAATTAGATTAAAATTATCCATTTAAAATTTTGAACTAAAATCAGTGGTTCAAAGTTTATTGAAGTTCATGTAAATGTTAAATTTTGAACCTGAAGCAACTTAAGACCGACAGTTTTAGTCCAGTTTCAACCTTATTTTCTATTTTTATTTTTAAAAATTATAATCATTTAATATATTTTATCTATACTATATATAAATATTGAAATAGAGGGAGAATAATGGAATTTTCGATATTATCCTTAATAATTTTAAAATACCCTAAAATAGCTTTAGTCGTAGCCAATTCAAAAATGTTATATTTTATACCAACGAGTGTTTAGATGAATTATTTTACGCTCTTCTCCCTTAGGTGAGGTCGAGGGTTTAATCCTCAGGATGGAACAAATACTCACTAGGAGCACTTTATCTTTTTATGGGCCCACCTGATGCGAGCAAAATTTAGTTTTAGCCGGCTAGGGATATCTATGGTTAAGACGGAAAAAATATTTTTTTTTTTTATTATTTGATTGGATATAATTTCTAAAAATTATTTTTTAAATAAATAAATATATATAATAAAAAAAAGTATACTCTTCTTTTTTGTATAGTTATAATTTTTGTATGAGGTTATAAGAAAAATTGTGAGTTTAATTTGGAGATGATTTTAGCGTTTGCTTTTTATGTAATCTTTTGTTGTATTAACTTAATTAACTGTATTTATTTATTTTAAATTTATAACTTAGCAATAATAGTAGAAACAAAGATATAAATAAATAAATATATATAATAAAAAAAAGTATACTCTTCTTTTTTGTATAGTTATAAGAAAAATTGTGAGTTTATTTGGAGATGATATTACGTTTCTTTTATGTAATCTTTTTTGTATTACTTAATTAACTTATTTATTTATTTTAAATTTATAACTTAGAATAATAGAGAAACAAAATATTTGAATAAACTCATTAACTGATCAATATTAGATCATAGCATGATTTGCTTTGTAATTTTCATTTATTGATTTGGCTTTTTTTTTTTGTCCATTAAAATCAAATTTTATTAAGTTATAGCATTTTTAGGGTTATTTTTTAAATTCAAATTGGTACTTTTTTTAATATAATTTATTTCTTGTTATATGTTGAGTTCTTAAAAGAGTTTTATTCTTAATAAAAGTTTGTTTTTTTTTATTTTCTTTTTCGTAATTCAATTAATTTGTAATCACTGTTACTTTAATTTAGTAAGAGATTTATATCTCCATTGTAATAAATAGATGACTTCTTGATCAAGCATTTTTAATTTTCTTGATATTTTTACTGTTGTATCCTAAATATTTTTGATTTGAAAGAAAATAGTGTTAATGAAATTGAAAAAAACTAAAACTATATATTTCTATTTTAGGTCATTTTTTTGAGTTTCAAGAGTTTGTGTGTATATTCATATGTTCCTTTCTCTAATGCTTTGGGTAAGTAATTCTATCACTATAGCCAAAATGATTACCGTTATTAATTTAGATTATCTTCTCGTTTCTTTTCTTTTAATTACCAGTAAAAAAAATATTATTATTTTTCATTATAGCTATATATAGATATTGATTTGAGATTGAGGGTAAGGGTTGAAATTAAGTGATAATTTGATTTTTTTTTAGCACCTATTAGAGTTTTAAGAATTTATATTTATAAATTAGATATCGAATGATTAGATATAGGGATTGGATTGAACTTTATTTTGAGACCACTTCATTATATAAAAATAGAATCAACTACATAAAAAATAACATTGCAACTAGTTTATACGGTAAAGTTTAATACAAATTAACTAATTGTATTATTTTAATCTAAACAAAAGCTTATGCTTTAATATTATATAGATAAAAAATTAAAATAGTATAAAAATGAAAATATAACGACCATTGTCAACGTGTAATGTACGTCATAAAAAAAGACTAGTGCACATCTAAAATTCTAAATATCTTTTTTTGCACGATACATTTTACTTAAATTTTTTTTTTTTGAAATACACTTTGCTTAAAAAAAAAATTCTAAAAAAAGTATCGAGTTCAAGTCCTCTCAACCACAAATGTTTTCACTAATTTGGTGAGTCCAGGGGAGGACTACCCCTATTGTGTAGCCCGTTGTATTAATATAAAATTATATTGTTTGATACAAATGGAGCTTCTTTAATAATTTATTTTATTAATACAATTTAGACAAAAATAAAATGATAATTTATTTGATTATTTTGTAATATTAATTAACTTTATTTCTTATATGAGTATAAACATTCTAAAAGTTATTTAAAATAAAATTTATCAATATTTTTTAAAAAATTCACATTAATTTTTTCAATAGAAAGACGCCTTAGGACCGAATGCTTATTTTTTCTTTTGAAAAAAATAATATAAAAGTTGCTGGAGACCGTGATTGAAATCGTCTGTTCATCGAAACTGTGCTGAAATTAAAACCGGATAAGAACATATGATTTAAGGGCCAATTCAGTTTTATATTTTAGAAATCTCGAACCGTCGATTCACTGAACCGGTCATGTCTAGTTTCAGCTTAATTTTACAATTTAAGTGTAATATTAAAATCTAGTTACTAGTATTATTTTATAATTTAAGTGGAAATTTTGTTTTTCCATCCTGTTGGAATTAAATTTTACAATTTAACTATAATGTTAAAATCTAATTGCTAGTATTATTTTATAATGGGAAAAATATAAGCACTTCGCTAAATTATAGTAAAATTAAAACATACGTCCTATTGCTTGCAGGAAGTGAGTCTGAGGTCCTGAATTATACTTTCATCCCATAAATTGGTCCCTCCATCCATTTTTGTTGCATTTTGCTGTTATTCAATTGGAAAAAGAGCAGTCAAATGAAAGATAAATTAATTAAACGACGAATGTTACCTTGCCAAAGCAGAATATAAATGAAAGTGGCCCTTTTGTGTTCACACGCTCTCTAAAACCCAGCTTACAGAGTGCTACCCGCAGCCCCTCAATCCATCTCAAAATCAACTCTTTCTTTCTCTTTAACCTCTCTCGCTTTATCCTCAAGCTTAAAAATTTCCATTAAAGGTTCATGTTGTCTCCTTTTCTCGGTTAGATCAGCACCGTCGCAACATCTCCATGGAACAGCAAAAACCTCAATATCAAAATTCTCCTTTTGCATGTGTCTCATTTTCTTAATCTCCTAATCAATTTTATGAAATATAGGTATGTGTATATTATCCAACTCTCTTCGCCAGTCAGATCAGCGTCGTCGCCGCTAACATCGTCAAATTGTCAAACTTTTGATTTATGGTTCTATTTCTCTTGTTTCATAATCATCATATTTTGTTATTTGTGTGTTTTTTTTTTTTTTTTAATTATTGAAGAATTTGTTTCAAGATTGTTACTGCATTTTGTTTCAAGTTTTAGGGACTATAAAATTCAAAATTTTCTTTTAATTTTGGGATTTTTCTTTTAATTAGCAATATATTGATTTCCTGTATCTGTATTTGGTTCTGTATAATACATTGTAGGCTGGTTAAATTACGCAAAAAAAAAAAAAAAGAAAAAAAAATATAGCAGTGTTGTCCTTCCTGTACATATCAGTTGGCTTGCTGAGTAATTTTCATTATGAATATCACATCTCTTGTTGGCTTCCTGTACAGATCCGGAGCCATTAATAATAATTAATTTGTGCAATTAATTTTTGTTTTTGAAGGAGAATTTGTGCAATTAATTAATTAATAATATCAATATTTAAATCTATATAATATATAAAAATAGAGGAGTCTATCGTAAACGACAATCAGTATAAATCTTTCAAATTATCAAGTGTATAAATCTTTCAAATTATCAAGTGTAACGAGACCAATTGTTTTATATTGTCTTTATTAAAATAATATTTATTAGTTACACTCTATCGGTTGATATAATCAATTTAAATTAAATTATATATATTTTTTAATAATAAATTTAAAAATTATTAGTAATATTTTTATTAATCTATAAATTTAAGAGAAATATTTTTATCCATCTCAATATTCTTCCACCTATTCCCACTTATATATTAAGTAAAATTATTCGCCCATTTTTACTCCTTCAATGGTAAGGAGTATAAGTTTATGAAGTGATTGAGCTTAAATTTTTCAGGGGCCAAAATATATTTATCATTTCATACAATAAATAAATCTAATTAAAAAAATGTCTAAAAATAGTGTAACTACATAAAAAAATATGTATTACATACAGTTAAGTTTTTTTTAATGAAAATAGTAAATGACAACAAAATTATAAAGATTTTCTTAGCTCACATAATGACTTCCAATAAGAAAGAATAATTTTCTAAAATTTATATATTAGAAATAATTTTCTAAAATTTATATATTACAAAATTACAACGAAAACAACTCGCAATATTTAAAATTTTAACTATGTTATTGTATTTTTAAAATTCGATCGATTTAATTTTATATTTTTAAAACTATTAAAAGAAATCATAAATTATAATATTAAATCCATCTATTTGAATAAATGAAATATCATATATATTTATTCCATAAATTTAGAATTCTAAAGTTTTTTTTAGGTTGTTAAGTATTAATTAAATAATCAATAATAAACCATGTAAAAAAACTAAACTAAAAAACAAAAATTGAGACCACTATCGCTTGAACTCAAGACTAAAGAGTTTATCATGAACATTAGGTAGACTATAAAATTTTATTGAAGTGGGAGGCCTCTAGAACTGAATTTATAAGAAGAACTTACCTACGTTTAGTGTATGAATTAGTCGGGAATCAAACAATAAAAAAACATAAGTAAACCAAATTTTAAAAAGAAAAGAACCGAATTTTTGTTGCTTGAACTGCAAACTGTTATTAGATATCTGAACTCTATATTCTAACACAAATGGATAAACTAGTTTTGAGAATTAAAACATTTCTTACATAAAGAAATGAATTACACAATGCAAAAAAAAAAAAAAAAAGAAAATAAATTTGATAATAATAATAAGAATAAAAATATATGTTTTTCAACTATCCATCTCTACTTTTATCACGGCCATGGTTTGATCTACTTCTGCTTTGCAATATCTTCTTTGGATCTAATTTGCTTCCAGAACTTCCTTCTTCTCTGGCTTCTTTTCCTTTCTTTGACTCTGCTTCTTCTATTTCTCCGCTCCTAATAGTTTTCCCTTCAGATTCTGATGGATGCAACTTTTTATCAGCTCTTTTCTTTTTTTTATTGTGGTCTCTTGTGCTGCTGGATTGATCAACTGCACCTCGCTGTAGCTTATTATTTAAGTCTTCTTCTGATATTTGCATTTGGTTCCCTCTAGAGAATAGCTCCTGGGTTAGCATTCTATGATCAGTTGCTGCTCTGATGGAACCTTTCTCTTGTTCAAAGAACAGGACTTGAACGACCGTTCTCAATGGCAACCGCTCGTTCTTCACTGCGTGTGCTCGCACCTCTGGGGACAGTTTTTGGCAGTCCAGAATCCTGCAGAGTCGTTTCTTGTCTGCTTTGCTTAGATCAGGATGCTCCTGTTTTATCAATCAAATGAAACTAATTCAAATTAAAGACAATCACTATTATACATAAGATGCTTGAATTTGTCATCGAAGGTCATAGAAGTTCGTGTAATGGAAATAGCATACCTTGAGATAAATGTTGATAGCCTTATAAAGGTCATTGTGATCTTTCCTTGCAATATCAGGCAAAGCTTCAGCAAGTGATACTACTTTTGACACAGGCATGTTCTTTTCCCTTGCAACAACTTGAAGGTAAGAGTCAGTAAGCTTTCCAATCTTTCTAATTGATCTTACAAGCTCTGTATTTTGAGCTGGTTCAGGCCATTGTCTTCTCCATAAAATCAAGTAACTTTCTATAACAGTCGCAACCAAATCAATATCATAGTAATGTTGATTGGAGGATGAATGTGAAGGAAATATCAAGTCATTAATTGTAGCCTCATGCAATTGCAGACTAGATTTCCTTATTAGTTCTGTCTTTACAACAGGAGATGTGACTAAATAATTTGCAGTACTAAGAAGTCTTAGCAAGAAACCAACTGAAACTGATCCTTTGTCTGATGGAATCATACTTACAATGGCTTCAAGAATTTTTCTGTTCTTTTCTGTAACCTGTTCAGTTTGAGAGACTGAAGTTTCTTCTGTCCTAATTTTTGTAGTGTCTGGCAACCAACGACAGGCATATACGTGCAAGGCTTCGCCTATAAGCTGTGGAGGCAGCATACATGTTGATCTGATTGCTGTGATTATACATCGAAAAAGATCTATGTCAAGGTCTGATATGTCCTCTGTCCACCAATCTTTTGGGACAGATTTCTGAGACTTCTTGAATCCCGGTCTGGTATATGTATAGGACCATGTGACCTGCAGAATATATACATGTGTATGCATAATTGTCTTCTTGTAACCTGCGTACGAATTATATGAGTGTAACTGGACTAACCTTTGCTGGGGGTGTGAGGATTTTCTCGACAATCGAATCGATGCATTTTCTGATGATTCCAAGATTTTCTGACCACTCAGTCAACTTGGCTGTGGTCTGCAGCGCGACAATAGAATCCTTCCAGCCTTCAAGAATGCAAGAACTGAAAAATGCTTCAAGTTTCAGAACAAAATTTCCCTTCTCAATTGATTCAGTCATTCTAAGGAACTTAGCTGCACAAAATGCAGGCACGAAGTTATGTGCACTGAGATTGATAGTAATGCCATAGCAAAACTTTGCACAAAGCTCAAAAGCTTCTTCTCCTCCAGGAAGGTCATGAAGCTCTATAGTAACAATACTTGAATCATCAGGATCTGGACACAGTCTTTGCAAAAAACCACATTTGGGAACAAGTGGAAACTGCAGCTAAGCAACAACAAAAATAAGGACAGAGTGCCTAAAATCACAGAATCAGCGCACAAATAAATAGGAAATATTTTTGCCCTTCAACTCTTACCTTATGGAGAAGGTAACTAATGTTATTGACTCGAATAACAAGATCGCTAGGTATGTCCGATATCACACACCTGCGTTGCAAAAACAAGCACAGTCAAACAAATTTCATACATATATATACATATAGAAGGTAGGATCACTCACTCACCTTGTAGCCTCTTCTGTATAGAAGGTATCTGGGCGTGTCCCGAGTTTCATGAACTTCATCTTTGAGAGTTTTTCCCCCCCTTTACTTCAAAGGAGCAATTATCAATCTGCAACAGTCTAACATGCCCTTACAAGAACCTGAAAGAAATTTAAATCCAGTAATGCTTATGATATTACATGCATAGAAGAAATGACACATCCTAAGTGAAATATAATTACTTCTCTAAAGGAAAGTTGATTGTTTGTGCCAGAATGAAATATTAAATAAAACTAAAGAAAACACAGACAAGAGGCAAAATAATAATAATAATTTTGTATAAAAAATTGTGTGTTTTTTTATTATTATTATTTTAGCTTATAGATGTAAAAATAATTAAGTGTCTAAACCACAAAAATACTTTGAAATAAGTGTTTATTGCGCACTGTGTTGGGGTTCACTTTAGGATACTAACCCTCTTAACTTGGCAAGTTGGTTGTACTGTTGCTAAACCTCTTAAATTGGCAAGTTGGCTGTATTAGCGTTCGTACATATCTATCTCATACACTAAATCCATAAAAATAAGTTTTTGGCTCGAGAATATTTCTAATAATTTATTAGGGTAAAAGAGAATAAAATAGTAACAATTTAAAAAAAAAAAAATTTAGCTTGGTGTATTAATTTAACCACTCTACTATATAATTTTCCTCAATTGCATACTTGAGGTTGACAGATGGATGCTAAGAGGAAGGTGGAATAGCCATTTTAACCCTCAAGGATTTCAACCTTTCACGAAAAAAGCTAATCAGAACCAAAGACAGAATGGAAACAGAAAGAGCAAGAAGAAGTAGCAAGCACACACCACGATCTGCCACTTGTATTGAATTTTGATAAACCTTCTAGATTCTGAGCTCTATATTGAATTTGCTAGATTTTTGGAAAATCAAGTGAGGCAATCTTATAAATTATATCTAGATTTTTTGGAATATCATAGCTGTGAAAATATTTTCATGGAAAGAAATGAAATAGGTTTTCTTTTGGTTCACAGAGTTGCCTTCTATGGGTTTGTGATTTTTGGGATATGTAATAATGGAGATATTACGTTTTTAGATTCGTAAAATTTAAATCTTCACATTTTCCATAATAAAAATAAAAATTAGGATTCATATATGATTCCACTAATTTTTGTGGAATTCATCTATTCTAAATGAGGAGTTAGACACCAAAACAGTAAATATTAGAGATAGAAGAATCATCATCGTGAGCAAGACCTTATCTCACCTTTTATTCAATAAGAGTCGTATCGTCTTGGTTAGTTTCTTGTGCAAAACCCTAAAAGCTCTTTAGAGATAGAAGAAATAGTACTTTTTACCAGCAGAAATGTTAAGATAATTAACCTAATAACCTTCTGCCATCAATTCATTGATCAATGAGATAAGAGCATTACTAAAAGAGATGATGTATATTACAAGAGTCTTGACGTAATAAACTAAGGGTAAATAGGTAATGTTATATTCATTGCTTTAAGAGTTATATCAGAAAAAAGGAAGTTTTGTCTGTTTTATTTTAATTTGGCTATTTCATAATTAATAGTTACATCAGAAATCCCCTGGACCGTGATTTTGCTTCCGTTGTATTTACTAACTTACATTTTAATAGTGATTTCTTTTGAATTGGAAAAGGACGTGCTTTGTACTGAATTTAGAAAATCATTTCATTGAAAATGTTAATTAGGATATTAAAATTGGTTTTTAAAATAAATTTCCTTTTTTCTATATATGACGTCTAAGCAGTAAATGGAATGGACTGCCATAATAATAATAATAATAATAATGAAATAAAAGGCAAAAATAAAATTAGGTCAACTTTAGGCAGTGGTCCCAATTCAGTCCCAAGTCCCAGAATGGACTGTATAGTGCCTATTTTGTCCACACACTTAAATGCACACATACCAGGATTTCCAAATAAAAAGGCCACTGCTATTTTTTGTTTTTTTACTTTTTAATTAGAATTTTAATAAAATAATGCTAACTGCTAGTCAAATGGTGGTCTGGTTGATTTTCTTATTTATATAAAAAGTGAGAGGTTTTGAGTTCGAATCTTCTTGACCACAGCTGTTTTCACCAATTTGGTGATTTTACAACTATTTCTCTAAAATTTAACCGCTTATTGTATTCAAATCCTAATCTAACTCTAAATTAATTTGTTCTTATATGAGTACGCGCTTATAATAGCACTTCTCAATCAAAAATACTTTGAAATTGACTATTATAAACTTTGTTTTATATAATAATTACTTTATTAGCCATTAAATTTAAAATTATATCTAAATAAGTTAAATATATTAGTAACAATTGTATTTATTTTAATATTATTTTAAATTTCATCATAAATTTATTTTTTATGAAGTTGAGCTTATACAGCAGCATAAATGCTTTAAAAAGTGCAGGGAAGAAAAATATATATTAAAAACTTACTTGCACATATTCTTGCAAATGGAATTGTAGGACACAAAGTTATCACTACCTAACTTTAGGTTAGGATTCATTTAAGAAAAAAAAAAGAAACTTTTTTTTTTTTATTTTTTAAGTATTGAAAAAAAGGATTCGAACCTGAATCTATTATCAGGTCGTAATGCACTTACTATTACCGACTCTTAATTTTTAAGATTGCTTTTGATCATCACATGCCACTAAAACTAATGTGTAATTAACATTATAATATTATAATTTTTTCCAATATATGAATTTTGTATTCTTAGTTTATATATCAGCTTTTGAGTAGCTGAAATTATGACTTTAGTAAAGTATGTCAAAATTAGTTTTGATATCACTTTACCACTAAAAAAAATTCTCTTTTTTTTTTTTTTCCCCACAAATATTTTCATACCCTTTTTGGTATGAAACCAATCTCTTTTTTAGTGTTGTCTATTGGAAAAGGAATTTTTTACTTTGGGAATGATAGGGTTTGGAACTTGTAGTTTTTATTTATTTATTTATTTATTTAAACTAATTTTTATAGAAATTCTTTTCTCCTATTTTCTAAATCTTAACTCTACTATTTGTTCCTCTTTGTTACTAACAGTTTCTTTCTGTAATTGTTTTCCAGGGATGGAATTTATAATTTTGAAGAAATTATCTACTTTGTTTGAATTCAAAAGAAGGAAAACACAAAAACAAGTATACTGCTTAAATATTAATTTTATTATTATAAGAAAAAGGTGAACCAATTTTGATGATTTCATGAAAAGAGCAAAATAATTAGTAGCTTAAATGGCAATGAAATGTTAAATTCATATTTAGAAAATCAAAACATCTATGATTTACCAAATGATCAGGAAAGCCAAAAATGAATAATAGATGAATGAAAAAGGAAGAAAAAAAAAAAGAAACTGTACTTAATGTCTCTAGTGGTCCAAAGACAGTGGGGTGTTGGTCCATGCAGGTGCCTTTATCACCATTGATTGGTTCAAAATCTAACCTAGCTAGTGGTTTGTCAGGCAAGTACTAGTGCTAATGTATCACAGCATCAAACTATACTATTTCAAAAAAATAAAAAATAAAAATTTCAAAAAATAAAAAAAATAAAAAACCTTATTAATTGGATTTCCTTCTTAAAAAAGAGAAACATGACAGAGCTTTCTTTTTCCTCATAGATACTAAAGATTCCCAACACCATATATAAGGAAAATTTTCTGAATACAGAATATGAATGGTCCTCCAAAAAATTTGACATGATAGGATTCCATCAAAGCCACAGTGAAATTTAGCTACTTATGTTAATATTACCTTTTGGAATTGATCAAGAACTGGACAATAAGGTCTGAGAAAATGTTTTGATAATCTTCTTCTTGTCCATATACTAATGGAATTTTTTAACAGAAAAGAAAAATACTTTTTAAATGATAGCTTTTCTCTTTTACTTTTTATTTTCTCAACATTTGTTTATAAATAAATATGTATCTTCTAGTAAAAGTGAATGGCAAAATCTTACATTGCAGTACAAAGAAGTAGGTCATGCCTATGTGCTTGGCTATTGAGTGGGAGACAATAATAAGAAGTTCTGTCAAGCAAATTACCTCCATTATCTCACATGCCAACACAATTATCCCCATCAATCTTGGAATAATTAAACTAATTAATTGTGCAAAATCACAACAAATATACATAAATTAAAAAAAAAAAAAAAAGCAGGGATTAAACTAGAAATTATAGCTTTGAGAGGTAAAATTTAGAAATTAGCCTTAAGATTTCATCTAAATTCTTTCAAAATAAATTGTGTTAAATTCATTATTTTATGTTAACCTTTTATTTTAATTTTGGCCACTTCAAAAGTTTGATATTATAATACATACAGAAGAAAGCAAGAAAAAAAGAAAGAAGAACCTACCAGGAGCAGTGTTGTTTGATTCCAAGAAAGCTTCAGTCACCATTCAAAAATCAAGAGAGCTGCAAATTGTAACTCTTCCAATAAACTTGAAAATGGCTGGACAATGTTGAGAGAGAGAGAGAGAGAGAGAGAGAGAGAGATTTAGGGATAGAAGGAATAATTGTAATACTTTGTGATCCAAAAAAACCCAGAAAAATGGGTGCTTAAATCAGAAACCAACATGTAATCATTAGTGTAGATGAACATGGGAGGCTTAAATGTGATCTCAAAGAAATGCCTTATTGTTTCATGCATGTAATCTTGGAGGGAAGGACAGAAAGAGAGAGAGAGAGAGAGAGGGAGAAGGGGAAGGAAAGAAGAAGAAGCTTTGTTGGTTTCTCTTACACTCAGACACCACTAAAGAGGCACACAACAACTGGAAAAGTAAAGTCTCTCCTTGTCTCTCACCAAGACTCGTGGAGAGAGAGAGGGCTGGGATTAGTCAACATAGTAATATATCAAAAGCATGTTATGATGAACTCCTTGAATTTCAATAAATAATAATATTGAATATAATTTAATCTTTATTTAAAATCATCTTTTCATTTCTTTTAAATATGCATGAAATGAAAACAATCATTTCTTTTAAATATGCATGAAATGAAAACAAAAGTTTGGATTTAGAGATTTTCTGTATTATAATAAACATTTTTTTATTAATATATGAGGAGGAATTTTAATACTATAAGTTCTTTAATCAATATAATATGCACACCAAGAATCATAGTTTAATAATAAGAACATATGTTCGACAGTATATTTGGGTTCAAACCCTCTTCTTTAGTACTAAAAAGAAATCAATAACATATAAATTAATGTCTTAATATAGCGCAGTCTTTCTTTCTTTATATGTAAGAGAAAAATAATAATATATCGGTGGCCTAAAATTTATAAATGTTAGATGTTTTATACATTAAGGCAAGTACAATATGATTATGATATTAAAATTTTTGGTGTTTGATTTTGAAATCTTCGATTTAATTTTAAAGATCATTTAAAATTGGAAGTAAATATTTTTTTTCAATTTTTAGTTTTTAACATAAGTTAATAATAATTATAATAATAAACAGTTGATATTAGAAAAGACTAAACGAGTTTATTAAAAAAATATCAAAATTTATTCAAAATAATTCTAAAAAATAAATTAGAATTTCTTTGATAATATTTGATTTTATAATTTCTTTGTGGTGATGCGTTTATTCCTTTTATAAGTCACATGACACATTTATAACATGATATGACATTCCAACGCCATGTCATTATAATAATTTTGAGTAATTTGATAATTCATGAACTTATAATAATTTTGATACGATTTCAGTAATTAATAATAATTTTTTAAAACAAAAATGTGTTTCTTAATGAATAAAACTAAAAAACAAAAGGAAAAAAAAAATATATATATATAAATAAAGAATTATATATATATACACACACACAGAGAGTAAGAGCCCAGAGGTTGAAAATTGATAGTGTATGATTGAATAGAGAAAAAGCAGGCAAAATGGAAGTGGGGAGTGAGGTGAGATCCTTTTTATTTTTTTTGTTGCTAAAACGTGGGACCATAAAAGAAAGAAAGAAAGAAAGAAAGATCTACCTGTGCTATTGTTCATCATGCTACTCCCCACTATCTAGGTATATTCTCCTTCTATAGGGGCCTTCTCCTGATTTGCATGTCGGCCACGTGTGTTGTCTCGTTGCCGTTGGTTTTCCTGTGCTTGATCAGTCTTGATGGGATTGGTCTGCATCAGTCTTGTTGGTTGTTTTGGAGGCCAAACACAGACAAGTCTACCCTCCCCAGTCAATACTTGTTGGTTAAAATTTCATGCGTGTAAGTTTCTGACTATTCGCACGTGTGAGTTGTGTTTTTGTGGATTTGAGGGTCCATTCTGATATTATGTGAATGAAAAAGAATTAGGACCGCCCATATATATCCCTTGAAATTCAATCCCTACATTGAAGTTGATGTGTTAACTGTTTTTAGATGCCATTCTTTATTGTGCTTACTTTGGCTCATTAAAAGCCACATCCTTTGGGTCTTTGCCATGACAAAGCCATTATTGATCAAAGTGATGATGACAATTATGATAGTAAATAGCATGATCATCATCATCATCACAAAAAAAAGAAAGATCTATTTTTTTCCTTTTATATATATATATATATTAGAAGACTAATATATGTATTTTTGAAAATATAAATAAAATTTAGAGGGGAAAAGTTGAATTTTAAAAAAAGTTCGGGGTGTCCATCCATTTATAGTTGTGCTTTTGTAGATACTTTTTTAACTTTAAGCATAAAAAGAATCATATTATAAAGAGTTGTCCAAGGTTACAAAAGAAAGAATAGAGAGAGGAACATCCTCTATCCGAATAGAAACATCTGAAGGTGAAGAAACTAACTTGGATAATTCATAAGCTATTTGATTGACCTGCCTACCAACATGAAAATACTAGAAAATAAAAACATTTGAAAGCAAAGAATTTAGGGACAGTAACTAGTCCCACGATCCACTAAAAAAAAAAAATCTAGCCTTCTTTCGGCCACTCTCTCTTTTTTGTGTATTCTTCTAGATTTTATTTCTAAACCACCACCGACCGTTTTTTTTTATCAGCAGTAGTTTCTTTTCGTCCCTCTCAATTGTCTTTATTTATTTTATTTAGTTTCTTTCTAATAATTTTTAAGTCCATGACTATTTAAAACAAAATTTGGAGTTAGTTTCTCAGTTCTGTAATAATTGATAGATCTTTAGTGGTTTTGGTATCCACTCAGTGGGTTATTAATTTTTTCTTCTTTTATGGGGTTGTTCTTCGTCATTTAGGAGTTTTTATGTGAATCTTTTATTTCTTAAGCAGTTCGAAAAATAAAATGGATTGTTGATTGCTTGAGATTAAAGACTTCATATTTTAAGTTCGGTAAGTTTCTTTTACCAATGGAGGGGGGCTTAGTTTCACTTACCTCAACTATATACCCTATTATATTGGCGTTTATAAAATTTAGTTTGTTATGCAAAAATATACAAAATTTAATTGATGTTACATAAAAAAGCATCCCTTAGTTTTTTCATTAGAGAGTAGATGGAAAGTTGACTTGAATGATTTTAAACTATTTTAAATTAAAAAAAAAATTACTACCTCACCCCTAACTTTCACTTTCTTTCCCTCCTTAATTTCTCTCTACCTCAACCCCAAACCCGCCTCTTCACTGGAATTGCAATAAGTTATGTAGAAGAAATATACTCTCATCTCAGAACTTGCTTTCTCCTCCGCTATTTTCTTCTCTTCTTATTTTTTTTATATGAATTAGATATACAAGAAATAATTAAAATGGGTGATGAATTCATCCACCATGAATCCCTTGTTCAGTATTCCTTTTAGCTATAATTTTGTTACTGATTTTGCAGTTTTATGGTGAGGAGGCGGGTTTGGGGATGAGGGAGAAAGAAAGTGAAAAGTTAGGGCTGAGGTGGTAATTTTTTTTATTTAAAATGTTTTAAAAGCATCCAAATCAACAATCCGTCCACTCTCCAACGGAAAAACTAACGGATGCCTTTTTATGTAATATCAATTAAACTTTCTATATATTTGTGTAACAAACTAAATGTTAAGAAGGCTAATGTGATAAGGTGTATAATTGAGCTACGGCGAGTGAAATTAACCCATGGAGCCAGATAGTGCGGCATATTCATCCATTAAAATTTTGGTACTTACACGGTGTTCGACAACAGCTTTTTATATAGCTTTTAGCGTTTTGACTGATCAAAATGCTAAATGCTACTTAAAAAATTGTTCAATAACATAGCGTTTGAACTAGTTTTTAGAGGTTATGGTAACCGTTTGTGAACAGTTAACTCATATAATATTTAGCTTTTAGCGTTTCATGAAAAGTTACTAAAACAACTAATAGCTAAACACTACTAAAACATTTAACAACTTCCAAAATAGTTAAATTTATCGAATACACCTTTAAACTCTTTTATTGTGAAAGTTTCTTTTGGCATCCTATTTGAAAATGGACTAGTTTTTAATCGGAAGATTAATCTCTTCTACTTAGATAAAAAATATCTCCAAACATATTAATTTGTATTTTTTATTCCTATGAAAATTTATGATGTAATCAACTTATATTCATAATTAATGAATTGTTAAGTTTTTTTTGTTTTTAACAAAAATAGTCTCATGATCAATATCTAGGAACTCATCATAATTTACATATTAGACCACCATCAAAGCATTAAATTCCAACATGATAGCGAGAAAGCCAAGCTCTATAGTTGCCTTATGCTTCTGCATGATCAACTGGTATCAACTTAACCGAAAATTGACGGGTTCGATTACAGTTTAGAATTAAACGATTATGGTTTCAGTTTTTTAACAATTTCAAAATTGATAGTTTCGGCTAGTTTTTCGATTGATTTTTTGACGAATCGCATAAGTATAAAATAAAAATTAAAAACACATTTATTTGTTGAAAATTTAAAATTTAAATGTTTGTGAAATAATTTTAGAAAAAACTTTAAGAAAAAATAAAAAAGAAGGCTTAGCTTAATTTATTTGTTTAAAAAAAAGGCTTGAATTTTTTTTTAAGAGAAAAGACTTGAACTAATTTATTTTTTCAGAAAAAGGCTTGAATTTAATTTTTTTTTTAAAATGAAAAGAGTGTTTATAATAAATCCAAAAAATCAACTCCACAAATCCTTAAAACTAGCTATTATATAGTTGTTAGAAAGGTTAATTTAGAAATTTTACAGAAATATTTAAAAAAATAAAAAAAAAGTTATTGGAACCGGGTGAAACCACCAGTTCACAGTTCTTCAAAAGTTAAAACGAAACTGGACCATAAACCTCTGATGCCGTTTCCAATTTTTCACGGCTTCTAGTTTTAAAAACCGTGAAATGGCCACCCTTTGTATATTGATGCATCCACGTTGATCTTTACAAACTCAACAGCTGGAGGATGCCATTTTACCTGACGCACGTCATTCATGGTTTTAAATATTTTTTTAAATTAATTTTAGCTATTACAAGCAAATAAAAATGGGTTATCTAGATAATATTTTTTTCAAAAATAAATAGATTATAATATAAAACTAATCGATTAAACAGGCCAAGTTAAGAAAAAACATCAGTAGATTTATCTATTTCTTTGTGCTTGTCCATCAACCACTAAGTTTAACTTAAATGCATTTTTTGTTACCCTCTCAATCAATTTTTACGTGTGATTTAAAATTCTTGTAAGATGATTAAGGAAATAATTAAATTAATAAATAGTGATAAAATAGTGTTTAGTATGACTAAAGCTATCCTACCTAGTTGCTATAATATAAAAATTTAGAAAGATAAAAAGAGAGATGATAAAAGATGTATTTTTAACAACTCGTAAAAAATATAATTATTATATCTAATAAGAGTAAAATTGATTAAAATTATTTAATATTTCTTTATCTTCTTCAAATTACAGATATTTTTGAACAAAATAATCAAAACACGAGATAAAAATGGACAGTTGGTTTATGCACTAGCACACATTTTACATTGTAATGCTTTTGACAAATTGCATGTGCAATCTTTAAGGCAAATTCACTTTTTTAATTTTTAGCAAATTATGATTTTTTTTTTTTTTGAACTTTTTCCAAAACAATGTTATCTTTAAGTAGCTTAGAAAAATACTGACCTAATAAATGAAACAACGTTAAATTTTCCAAAACAATTGCACATTTTTTTTAATAAATATACACTAACCAAAGCTTAAAGATTGATAAAATACGGTTCAAATGCACATAATGTAAAATTTGAGAGTATTTTGAGAGTATTTTTGAACCCTAAAATGACTGATCAATTTATAATTTCTAATCTCTTTCATGGAACAGTGAAAAAAAATAATAAACAAATAAATTCATAATGCCTTCTGTAAAACGAAAAAAAAAAAATCAGTCTTATATTAAATATTCAATAGCATTATAATTTTGAAAAAACAAAATTTTATTAAAATTGAAATTTCTAAACTGTACTTTGGCGGTTTTTCCTTATTTACTTGAAATATTTACATCAGTTTATATCATAATAATTGAAATAATAGTGGAGTGTCTTGAGAAATTGCTTTGGCTTTCGATTTAGATTTGAGTTGACTACACCAATTACCATATATTGCTTCCGTTAAGCATAATCAATATTATACAGCATTATCATTATTATTATAGTTCTTTAAATGCATGAAATGAATAATCCAATATGCACTAAAACAACAAATAGGATATGCCAATTGATATTGCTCCCAACAACCCATAATAAACGAAATGATTGAACCGTCCACTATAGACAACTTGGTCTCTTCTCATCATCCCCATAAGAAGACACTAACTGTTTTACTATTTTGACTTTCATTCATCAGAAACCTGAAACTTAACTATCAAATTTCCATGCATTTAATAATTCTACCAGAAACCATAAATTTTGTGGTATTTCCCTCCTACAGAAACAATAATAAAATATGCAACAAGCACAGCAACAATGTTTTAACAATAGCATTAATCAAACAAAGGTAATAAATTACGTTAATGATAGAAAGACATAACTCTGAACGTTAGTGGCGGCGGCGGCAGTGGCTATAGCTGCTGAATATCAAACCAAAGAATTATAAATAATAATAAAAAAAATCTTGATGTACAATTAACCTAGTCTTGGGATTCCAAAAAATAATTTAAACAATCTTTTCTAACTGTTAAATGTTTGTAACGGCGACTAGGTTCATGAGCACTCTACCCGCTGTCTTTTTGCAGGACTGTCATAGTTTTGTGCAGATTTGTCCAAGATGCCATTAACAACGTTTTCTTTGCTTTCTTCATATTTGAATGTCCAACCGGCAAAATCGGATTCAGAGAACAAAAGGGTAGGTGTTGCTTTGTAGAATGCCAATGGAACCTGTTTTACCCTTCTTCTAAGCTGCAATTGTGACCAATCACAACCCAAAGAATCACATTAAAATGTTAGGAAATTAAAAAAAAAAAAAAAAGAAAGCATAGCATGTAGATAATAACAGGAGAAATCAACAGCTCCACGATGCCTTCTTTACTCCATATTATAAACAAGTCACCCACTAAAATATCACATGCATCAGAATTTGCTTCATCCATTTTACATAATATAATAGCAGAACAGACAAGAAAATTAAAGACTCATGAAAAAGGCAATGTAGGCTTGTTGCTATTATCATCCCAAAGTCATAACTGTTACAAAAAACTGAGGAAGTAGTGGAGATGAAGATAATTAATGTGTCAGATTTTCAGAGAGTTCAAAATTTAGGTCCGATCAGGGGTAAGCATATTTTGGAAAAACTGAAACAATGCACCGCGGTTTTTAGTTTGGAGAAATTCTGGTTTTTCGATTTGGTTCGGTTTTGGAGAAAAAAGTTTTGGTTAACCAAAGTTTGGATACAGTGTCATTTCGCTAGCTATACCTTTTAATTTTAGTTTCAATTTTCAGATTTTTGTCCAACATTAAAAACTTAATATGAAATTAAAAAAAAGGTTTGGATATTCAGAAAACCGAACTGAAAATTGCGGTTCGGTTTCTATTCTACAACAGTTTGGAATCGGTTATTAAAAATATATAAGTTCGTTTTTTTTTTTTTTTTTTTTTTTTTTGGAATCGGTTTATTTAACAATATTATAAGGTTCGTTTTTTTTTTTTTTTTTTTTTTGGTTCCAGTTTTGGAAACAAACTGCCCAAATGCACACCCCTAGCTTCAATTCACAGCACCATATTCTCCAACGAACGATAAACCCAAGACAAGTCAAAACTTGACCCAAATTAGTCAGAGCTATAATTGCTCGTATTGTTTGCTTTTTTTTTTTTTTTTTTTTTTTTGGTTCAGTTTGGAAACAAACTGCCCAAATGCACACCCCTAGCTTCAATCACAGCACCATATCTCCAACGAACGATAACCCAAGACAAGTCAAACTTGACCAAATTAGTCAGAGCTATAATGCTCGTATTGTTTGCAAACGACATGAACTATATTTTCTAGAAATTAACAGAAATTTGATAATATTACCTCCTCTCCGAATATTGTTGCATACGAACTAGAGCTAAAATCCTTAATGTTGACTTCAGTGGTTTTGGCTCTGACTGTTAAGTCATTCTCAAGCGATAGCACAAACCTAATTGTGAAGAAAATAAAATATCAGGAGGCACATGAGTACAGTCTGCTAGTTGTTCACGCATTAAGAGTGAAATACTTACCTTGAAACAGGAGGGCAATAGTGGTGGCGAAGAGTATCAATTTCCCATAAAGAACTCCCTGTTTGAAGATGGTTGTCAATGCATATAGTTTTGAAAAGTAATTAAAATTTTTCAACTCCTCCAATGCATGTAAACATAAACAAATACAGGAATTTCAAGTAAATTAAACATGACAGGATGTGGTAGAATAATGTGCTAAACAAACAAATCATTGATATAATGAACATTAAATATACAAGCAGTATGTATCCAATATGTCATTAAGTGATTCCAAAGAGAAGGGAATCAACTTGATTATGGAAGACCAAAAGAAGGATTGCAATGTTCAGTGTTAATTAAATTAATATTTATAATGTTGAACTCAACGATTATTTATCATGATAACACACTTAGTTCATCAGAAAAATCACAGAGCTCTGGCAATTAATAAGAAAAACTGTACAGGTTAGTTGTGGACTGAAGATGTCTAACTAGTGCAATTAGTTGAACAGAAACCAAGAAGGAAAAATGAAGAACAGAATCGATCAAAGTCCACATATCCAAAATACCTAAAGGTGAAACCACTTGTAATCCGTGCCCTTTCTCGGAGAAATATTAAGAGAAGAATATCGTACTAAATATGCATCTAAAGTTCTATGTTGTTCTATGTTGAAAATTCTATCTTTATTTTCTTTATTATTTTTAATTTTGTATTATATGTGTGTGTGTGTGTGTGTGTGTGTGTGTATCAATACTTTATTTTCTTTAATGCATTGCTGGCACTAAGTATCAATACTGAGCAAGTGTGTGTATGTACATATACACACACACACACACACACACACACATACACACATATAATACAAAATTAAAAATAATAAAGAAAATACAGATAAAGGTTTCATACCAAGACCCAACAAAGCCAGATGTATATTGGGTTCCTTCAGGTAAGTCAAATGAAAATGAATTGACTCAGCATGAACAAAGGAAGTCCAAGCAATTTGGAAACAGTACTTACTCAAGGCACTAGACTTTGCAGGGTTGCTTTCTTCATTTTTAAAATGATCAATGCCAGGAGTTTTGGCAGAAATGTTACTCCCACTTCCAGAATCATTTGCATTAACAGCATTTTCCTCTTTTGCTTCTGAATTATCATCTGCACTTTCATTAACATCTTCCTGGAAAGGCACAAAAAAACACAATATAAACTTCATCTTCTAAAAATTCATCTTCGATATGGGATGTTGTTCATCATACATTGCAATTCATTCCCCTACCAACTTTATTCAACCTGGTTAATTCAGTTAAAATACTGCAAACCAAAACACAAATAAACCAATCTTCTTTCCGACATTTGATGATAAACTAACCAAAAGCTTTCTTTCTTCAAGTAAGAGAACCATATAAAGGCATCCTTTCTTTAAGTAAAGGAAGAAAATGTAAAGACACTTCTTTAAGTTATTTAATCAATCAACTTGGTAATATAGGATCAAGGTTTATTGTCAGAAGAAAAAAATTTTTACAAATGAAGAAAAACTTGGTAATATAAGAGGTGCGGCATACTTGAGAGTTCGAAAGCAGAATACATAAACAAAGCCAGCCTGCAGAATAAAAAGAAAAAACATGCCCATGGCTATTTACAATTATAGAACTGTAAGTTACCTGGTGCACCAAACAGTTGATTGATGGATGTCTCCTTAGAAGGTTGTGAATCAATGCAATAATAACCACTGCTCCCGGAGGAGGAACTGCAAGAGCCAGCCTGCTCAATTTCTTAGTAAAAGCTGCAGCCAAATATGCTGGAAGAAGTGGAGACTTTAGGCAAGAATCAAGAAGCTGCATCGAGATGATTGCATGTCAATGAGAATGCTTAAAAAAAAATGTCAGTAAACTCTAGTTCCATTTTTTACATATTGTTACTTGATTTGAGCTCACATTACTTGTCTTTGAGGTTGTGGGACTTCACCACTTAAGGTTCAAGACCATGAAGAAGTGCCTCAAAGTTGATTATACCTTCCCCTCAAAAAGAAAAGGTTAAGGCAAAATACATAAACTAGCCTAAATTTTACACAAAAATTCTATTAACCTCCTTAATTTAATTTTGATTTATTGAAAACTTCAACTTACAAAATTGTGCTGATTGAAACACTTCAACTTGCAAGTTGCACCTATCAATAGGTGCAACTTGCAACTTGAAGTGTTCAATAGATTAACGCAAAAAGTTGAGGCATTGATAGATATTCATGTAAGGTTCAGGTATCAATTTATGTATTCGGACAAAAAAGTTAACCATACTTAGTTGTTACTTAGTTGTTATAATGCCTACTCCCAAGAAATCCATAATAATCACTTCAATATCAACTTAGATTAAACCAACTTTAATGCATCCAAGATCAGGCATGCATGGTAGAAACTCAAAGATGTTGATTATCAAACTAAACTATCTCAACCAACAAGCTTATATACTATCCATTGGCACAGAGGACCAGAAGTAAAATTTTTACACATTGAAGTCATAGATCCATTAGCATATTTAAGGTGCAATCACAGTTTGAAGAAAAACTAGTTTTGCTTTGATTGTATCATATCTCACTAACAATAAGCATTCCAATTCATTATTCATAACTCAATACCACAACATATATTAAGGTTTCGTATTCAGTATTACCTCAAAAAATCTTGCCCTATGTTTGGCCATAAAGACAGAAGGTGATAATAATGCATAGAGTTTTTCATAGAAGTTGGGATACTCTAAGCCATGCTGAGTCATGAGGATAAAAAGGCTGCTAAGGGCCATCACACTGACAACACCACCAATATCATATGATCTCGTTAAGAAGTCACTGCATATTATCAGATGCAAATCAGAATTTATAATACGATAGAAATGAGCATAGCCATAATATCATTAAGAAAGCACTTTTGTGATAGTATACCATAACATTATTGGATTGGAGATATAAGGAATGACTTCCTGATGGAGAGTAACTAAGGCCTGTGCATAAAATGAAGCATGCATTATAGCAACGGAAAAGAATATTCAAATAACATTGAATAGATTCAAATAAGCTAACATCATGAAAGTCTGGGACATATAAAATTAAAATATAGGTGTTCCATAGTCAGCAATAGATGCTCAGATTACAAAGCAGCACTGGAAAAATAAAAATAGCATAAAAAAGACAAGATTACCTGAAGATCAACAAGTACATGTTAGCAAGAAGATTCAATAGCACAACTATGAAACAAAAGAGAATTGTATCTTATCATGTAAGATGAAGTAACGATTGAGTAATAAGCTAAAGCTTGATCAAAAAGTGATGGTGATAACAAAATTGAAATTCTGAACATTGTCATAAAGAAAAAAAGGCTAGCACTGTATGGTTGAAACTTGAAAGGACCTGAGGATTGACTAATGGACATGTGAACTTCATAAATAGAGCATGACTGTACAATTTAGAAGGTGTATTGCAGAATTTTTCGATGTAGAAATGAGCTGCCAAATGCGGTGTTCTTCCTTCACAAGCTCAACTATGGAGCAACAGACTTGCTAGTCAGAAAACTAATGTTATCCATTAGTACTTCTGCTTTAAGCACACTGTAACAAAGCTTCTGGGTATAGTAAGCCATAAGATTAAATCACATTCAATACATAAATAAAACTGTAAAAGTTAGAGCATAGGTTTTCTTTCTAAAACTTGAACCGAGCACATCTCAGCCCAAGCCTACCCTATCAATCCCCTTCACAATGCAAAATATTCATTAACATTTAAAAGCACTTAAATTGAAGTATAGCAGCAAAGACTCACCTCTTTGTATACATCAACTGGAAGAGGTAACCTAAGAAAGGAAATCCATGCTTTGGTGAATTTCAGTTTCATCTTTTTGCTGATATTGGCAGCTGATAAACCCTAAATTGGTTGCAGGCACAAAAATGCTCAACACAGGAATAGATATATATAAACAGATCCACAAACAACAAGGAAACTTAAAAATGAAAAATGGAAAATATCAGCATGAATAATAATTAAAACTTACAGTATTATTATGTTTCTCAGACTTGAGCTGCTTATCTTGCCGCTTTGGGAGCTCAGAAAGCTCATCAGCCTCACCTTTTGCAATGCGAATTAGAAATAATCAAAAATTTTAGCAACAGGCAAAGGAAAAAGTTTAAAATAAAGTTGAGAAATGGGAGAGTGAGTGTGTGCATGGGTCTTAATGTGTGTACAAAAATAGTACTAAACAACTTTGAAAAAGAAAGAAAGAGATCAAAAGTAAATCACCTGAGCCACTCCACATCACATAATCAGAATTCTCTTTTGACTCCTCAAGCGGGGGGATGCGTAATATAATATAAAGTATCTTGTGAATAGAGATATCCATGCTACAAGAAAACAATCATAGTTGAGTATTCAATTAACTACAACATCATTATAATGATTTTTATGCATGAAAATGGTCAACATTGAGCAACTTTATTATTTGAAAAAGGAGAGATACAACTGAACAGTCATGTGGCATGATAGAGTTTGTATAAATTGTATCAATAAATGTTAACACCAACATCAATTATCTAGAATATTATATAAACACAAAAGGGGCTGCACCTTCCTGCATTGCCCATTTGTACAATGCAGACAACAAATCAGGGAGGCCAAATAAATGAGGGATGGTGTTTAACAGATAGTAAAAGGCAATTCAAAGAATCACATTAAACATGAAAGAAATCTGGTTGCTGGCGTCTAATCTAAGCCTGAAGTAATAACTTGGCATAGTTTTATTTACCAAGTTTAGCTCCGGAGTTCACAGATCAAATTGAGACTAACTCACCATAGTATATAAAATAAATACAGAGTAATCATGAAAAAGCAGTACAGGAAGACCCCCAAGAAGAGTCCAGGTTCGTGACAAATAGGCATATTACTGACCTTGCCCTTGAATGATTCTCATCATCTTGATCAGCACTCTCAGTATTGTCCTCTAGCATGGGAAAAGATCAATAGAATAAAGGGCTGGAAAACCCAAAAACAGCATAAAAGGAATTGAGTTTTAGTGAAGAGCATGGCCTAATGATTACCAGGGACATCTTTTGCCTCCAAAGTTTTAGCAAGCTTTCCAAGGCTAATGTAGGTAAAATAACTGCACCAAGCACAAAATTCAAAGTCAAGAATTCTCAATGAGGAAAAAACTGAAAAAAAAAAAAAAAGGAAAGCAACTTAAGAATTTATATTATTTTGATCTCATGCTATAATAAGGGCACCTCATGCCAGTGGTGTCTATCTATCAAACACAAAAGACTATACAAAGTCTAGAATAATGCAGCCAAAAAGGAAAAAAATCGGCTGGCATATAGCTATTCAAGAAAAGGGAGAAAAGGGTAAATGAGCCCCAGTATCCTGAACATACCGGATATCAATGTACTTGAAATACTTGGATGCAAGCAAATCTAAAATAAAATCAAATGGTGTTGCAGAGTGAACCTACAAGCAAAGAGAGAGGTCATAAACAGCTGAGCAAGTTCATACAGCAGATTTCTGCATGACAAGTAATAATAAACTTACAATATTATGAAGTAATCTGTGATATATAGCCGAATGAAACCTTCCTCTATTCCCCAGCTTCACCAATTCCATAAGCGAATCTAACACAACTTCCTAATCAAATACATAAATAAATAAAATCATTAAAATTACCCAAAAAAACGAATACTTTCAAGCACATTAGGTATCAGCTTTGCATGCAAAAGGAATTAAAGTTCATTTTTCAAAAAGAAAAAGTAAGAAAATTTATGAACAATTAGCAACAAAATCAAGAACATTTGGCAAAGTGATTTTGGAATTGGAATTTGGAATTGTGAAGCATTCTAATAAATAAAAAGGACAAATAAATAAATAAATAAACTGACTTTCAAAGCTTCCTCGGCCTTCGCTGAAAGAAGAAGATCGATAAGCAACTTCACGAACTCATCGAACTTAGCACGAAGCCAAGTCCTATAAATAAGCTCAGCATCATCCTCATCCGCCGTCGTTTTGGTCTTCTTGGAAGACGAAGAAGAAGAAGGGAGAGAAGGAAGGAGAGGAGTGAAGAAGGACTGAAGAGACAGAACGGATTCAAGAACGTATTGAGGAGGAAATTTTGGGGAGATAAAAGTGAGAAGAAGAGGGAGATTGTTAACATGAGTTCTTGAAGAGAGGAGCTGTTGGCCTAAGGTTTTCACCTCTTTTAATGTATGTTTTGGTTTTGGTTTTGATTTTGATTTCGATTTCGATTTCGATTGTGATTGTTTTTCTTGAGCAGTTGAAGAAACCATTGTTAAAGAGTTGGTGTCTGGAGGGAAAGGAATACGCAAGTGTTTTTGGTCTGTAGTTACAAGCCCAAGCAGGAGGACGAGGCAGGGAAGAACAACTGATTCAGGGGTCGGCAGTGGCGGGCAGTGGAGTTACGGTTACGGAAGACGAGAGGCGAAAGGGTTTGGGTTTTGGGTTTAGGAGGTTTATATTTCCATGTAACACGGTGTCGTTGGAAGATGAAAGGTGGGTAGAAACGACGCCGTTGTGAATGTTTCGGAACGTAAAATTAAGGATGGCAGCGGGGTCCCCGCTAAAAATCAATTCCCCCGATCCGTTATGAAATAAACCAACATCATCCAAATCCGTTTAATTATAAATTCTTTCAATCCATTGACATCAAACCATTTGAAACTATAATCTGGGCCTGAAAATGTAACAAAAAAAAAAAATCAAAAATTCATATTAAAATTCAACATGAAAATAATAAAATTTCAATGCATAATAATATTAAAATAGAAAAAAAAAAATAGAATTCCACCTAAATGAAAAATACAAATGTCAAACCAATAAATAATGCACACAAAAAAGTATATTTTCAATTCAATAATCAGTAGTGGGAACTTAAAATTCATCTATCCTGTAATAATTTTCATTAAATCAATAAAATCAATAATATTTAATTAGTCGTTTATATAAGCCTACAAATGAATTCAATTATATATATAATAAAAATAAAAAATAGAAATAGGAAAGAAATGAAGACGTCCTATAGCGAAAAAGAAAAAAATAAATCGAGAATAAAATTAAAAAATAGAGAAAGGAAATGGAACTCTAGTTGAAGAGAGCATGGGCACGAAAGCAACAAGATGGTATAGAAAGAATAACACTGTGAAATGGGTAGAAGGAGAGGAGCGGCTCAGCGAACTCCAAGTAGGGAGGAGAAGTTGTTTGTGAGGAGTTTTGTTTTCTTTTTCTTTTTAATTCATTGAAGGTTTTTATGGACCGAAATAATACTGCGAATAATCAAAAGGACTCGATTTTGAGATCACTCACTCTTCACATAAATGAAAAGACCAATCAAACTATTTTCTGATTGGCCGGTAAAAGTTTTGTTTTCTATGTATTCATTAAAATGCAACTCTAAGTCAAGACAATGTAGTTTTGCTTGTGAGTTAATTTAGGCTTCCGACGTATTTTTTATGGTAAAACTAGCTATTATTATTATTATTATTATTATTATTATTATATCTATATCTATATCTATCTATTACTATACTTTTATACTATATATAAATGTGGAAATAGGAGAGATAATGAGATTTTTAATATCTCCCTTAATGAGATTTGAAATATCCTAAAATAGTGTTAGTCATTGGCCAATTTAAAAATTACATTTTTATACTAACGAGTGTTTGGATGACTGGTTCGAACTCTTCTCCCTTAAGTGAGGTTAAAGGTTCAATCTTTATAGATGGAGCAAATATTCGCTGAGAGCACTTTACCCCTTCTTGGGTAGATCCGGTGCGAGTAGGATTTAGTTCTAGCCAAATGGGCTCGGGATACCCGTGGTTAAGAAAAAAAAAAAAGAAAAATTACATTTTATTATTTGATTGAAGATAATTTCTAAAAATTATTTTTAAATAAATACATATAGATAATAAAAAAGAAAAAAATATATACTCTTCTTTTTCTGTATAGTTGTAGGAAAATTTGAGAGTTTATTTGGCGAAGATAAAACATTTCATTTATGTAATCTTTTTCATTAATTAATTAACTTATTTATTTATTTATTTTAAATTTGCAACTTAGAAAAATAGAGAAACAAAATTAGATCCTAGCACTCGGGGATACCGTTGGTTTAAGAAAAAAAAAAAGAAAAAATTACATTTTATTATTTGATTGAAGATAATTTCTAAAAATTTATTTTTAAATAAATACATATAGATAATAAAAAAGAAAAAAATATATACTCTTCCTTTTTCTGTATAGTTGTAGGGAAAATTTGAGAGTTTATTTGCGAAGATAAAACATTTCATTTATGTATCTTTTTTTCATTAATTAATTAACTTATTTATTTATTTATTTTTAAATTTGCAACTTAGAAAAATAGAGAAACAAAAATTAGATCCTAGCATATTTGCTCTGTAATTTCATTTATTGACTTAGCTATATATATATATATATATATATATTATATATATTTATATATATTTGTCTACCAACATTTCAAAATTTATATTTGTCTACCAACATCAAATTTCATAAAATTCTACCATTTTCAGTTAAAGAAGGGTTGATTTTTGAAATTCAAATTGATAATTTTTTTAATATAATTTGTTTTTTATTATATGTTGAGTTCCGAAAAGAATTCTATTCTTAGTAGCAATTTTTTTTTTATTTTCTTTTTCATTACTAAATTAATTTGTAACTGCTATCACTTTAATTTAATAAGAGATTTATATGATCTCTCTTGTAATAAATAGATGGCCTCTTGATGATTAACATTTTTAATTTTCTTAATATTTTTTCTATTATATTCTAAATTAGTTTGATTTGAAAGAAAATAGTGTTTATAAAACTAGAAAAAAACTAGAACTATATATTTCTGTTTTAGGTCACTTTTTAGAGTTTCAAGAATTTGTGTATATATACTTATATTCCTTTCTTTAATGCACTGGGTAAGTAATACTGTCACTATAAAGTAATTAGCATTATCAATTTAGATCGTCTGCTCATTTTTTTCCTTTACCAAGCAGTAAAAAATAATTTATTATTATTTTTTATTATAGTTGTATATAGATATTAATTTGGGGTTGAAGGCAGGAGGTTGGAGATTGAATGATGACTTGATTTTCTTTTTAGGCAATTTTTAGGTTTTAAGAATCTGCATTTATAAATTAGAGATTGAAGGATTATGTTAGATATTGGATTGAATTTTATTTTCAGACCACTTCATTATAAATATAATAGAATTAAATATATAAGAAGTAGCATTATAAGTAGCTTGTCCGACAAAGTCCAATACAAATTAAGCAACTGTGTTTATTTTAATTTAAACAAAAACTTATGCTTTAATATTATATAGATAAAAAAATTAAAAGAGTACAAATATATAATGAGCATAGTCAACGTGCAAGGCGGGTTTTAAAAAAAAACTAGTATAAATAAAAAGCTTAATGAGTATAAAAATAGCATATAACGAGTATAGTCAACATATATCGCACGTCATAAAAAGAACTAGTATATACAAAAGTACGAATGAAGGGGAACATTGCGTTCCTAAAACACCTCTTCTAAGTTTATGAATCGACAAAAATATTATTACTAATCCTGTTCTAATTATGATATCAAGATATTATTTTTATTATATTAATATTATAAATTTAATCTCATTCTAATTAGGAATTTGTCCTATCATACCACTATATATATGTTAGGTTTTAATTGCTTTTGACCATCAAAAATTTGTTGCTTTTGACTATCAAGAATTATTAAATCAAGTTTTTACTAATTTGAAATTATTGAGTTTGCAATCTGAAATACCCCGAATTTTTATTTTCGAAACTTTCGAATTTTTATTAAATCAAAAATCTCGATTTTCAACTATATGGGCTATAAATACCAAATATTATGGGCTATAGAATACCAAAAACAATTTCAATTGGAGCCCAAAGGTTGCGAGTTGGGCCTAGCCCAAATATATCATCGGAATTTTCAATTTGAGAACGGTAAATTTTTGAAAAATTAATAATACGAAACCTCGTAATTTAACCTATTAGGAATATATACAAATTAATTATCCTAAAATCAAATAGTGTTACTATTAATATTTTATTATTATTATTGAGTAAATGGAAAAAAAGTTACGGAACCTAACTAAAACAATCGAAATAAATCGGACCTAGAAATCAAATTGATTTTGTCAAAAACTAGCTTGAATTTTTTGCAAACCAAATTAAATCGGGTCAAACAATTGATTTGGACCAAACCGGTTTGAATCGAACCGGAATGACCTAGAAATTGCTAGAAACCGCCTTTCTTCTTATTTTCTTTCTCTTCTTCTTCTTCTCCGCGCGTTCTTCTCTGTCTCTTCTCCGACCTCCAGCCTCCGGCCACACCTCCGGCCTCCGGCCACCAAAATCGGCAAGCCATAGCTCTAAATTGAAGAGCACAAAGAAAGGAAGCCATTTGTAGTCTCGTTTTGCGGAAACAGAGCTTGAAACGAGAAAAAATCGCGTTAGAAGCAGCGGGACACCGTGCAAAGCCATTTCCGGCGATTCTCGCCGTTTCCGGCGGACACAGCCAGCGAGGAGACCTCTAATCGACTCCTCTTGGTCTTGCGCGTGTCTTCCTCCCTTCAGTTCCGACGATCAGGCTTCGGTGGTGAAATCACTATTGACGGCGGTGCCAAGCTTCGGGTGGCATCGGTTTAGGCCGTGGCATCGGTTTAGCATTGACGGCGGCGCCAAGCTTCGGGTGGCATCGGTTTAGGCCAAATGGGCCACCGACTCAACAAACGGAGCATGGATTTGTGTCCTTGGTGAAATTTCGATTCTAAGGGTGTACAAATCGCATGTTTCTGGGTAGCAATGATTTCCGGCCACTGTGAACGGCGGCCGACGGCGGCGCTCCGGCGAGGCCCAATGGACAAAATCTTCCTCTCCTCGCCTGGATTGTGGATTTGTCATCCGATTTTCATTCGGTACGTTCTAAGACTCAATTCTCAATTTTTTTTGTATAGATTTCGAATTAATTAACTAATGAATTTAATAAAGTAATTAAGTAAATTAATTTGAATAATAAGAAATTAGGTTATTAGAATAGCCTACATATATATATATAAATATATAGAACATTTTTAGTCTTTTGTAAATAAATTAAATTGATTAGCTTGCGGTAATTGCGATAGCCAAATATGTTTAGTTGGTTGGTTTAGAATTTTGGAATAATGTAATTGCAAATTAGTTTAAACCATTGTCAAATAAATTACATGAGCTATAAACTGAAATGACGAAAGAATTGGGAAACCTGAAATGGCAGCATGCCATTTTAACTAATTAGCTTGAACAATTATTACGGTATAATGCAAACGAAGTTATAAATTAAGTTCTTGGTGGGAAATGGGTTAAGTAGCATATGATGTATGAGTTTAATCAATAACTCAGGGTTTCTTTGATATAATGGCA